CATATTTATCTACTTGTTTTCTTAGGACAAGTGCAATGCACGCTGTATCTAGAGATTGTTCATGAACATGACATGACGTTTCCACATTAATTATGTAAATAGCTGACCTTCGTGATTACAAGTAAGTACAGTTGTGTTTTGATATCTAACGAAAAGCCGAAATGATAGTAATATTTTGCAAAATATCAAAAAATACTAGAGAGAGACTTTGTACAAAAGTCGTCAGCTTCAATGCTGTTCCTTTTTTATTTCTACTTTTACAACGTTTGTGATTTGAAGGGTCGTAGCAGGGAAATTTGAGTAAGAACAGGAATCAGAACATTTTGGTAACGTATGAGCTTTTCCTGCCATGGACGTTATAGTATATTCTGTGGCATCCATATTTATAGATGATGGTTATTATTATTTCAGCCGTTAACTGCCCACTGAATATAGGCCTTTTGCTTAAGGGGAGTTTGTTAGTTCAAGAAGGGCACTGCTTCTCATCCTTCGACTATAAAATTTCATTAGTTGCCTCTTACGACACCCATGGTGAAAGAAGGGCTGGCCCATTCTACGCCGGGACCACACGACAAAGGTAATGGTTAGTAGATATAAAATTATTTTAATTTTCATTTTTTTTTAATAAAATATTCAATGGCAAATAATCTAGTAACCTTTTTAAATATTTACATAGGATCAATACAAAAATAAATCGTCAATTCAAAATTGTAACAAACATTTCATAATACAAAGAAAATATAGTCGACATTACAATCTCTTCTATTCTTTAGTCCACTGTTATTATTAAGGATCTATCTACTAATACTATAAATGTGGGCTTGTTTGTTATTTTTTGTTTTACTTGTATAAATAAGTGTATGAGAAATGTATGAGTATCAGATTACACTAATACTTATCCTGATCAATCAACATCAACCGCGGATAAAAGTTAGCATCTAATAAATGGTTAAAAGTAATCAGTGATAAAAAGTCATAGAACTCACTTAATTAGGATTACAAAAAACACAATGACCTCTCAAACTTGAGTAATTTCCTGTAACTTAATTAAATGCTTACGAGACGGTTCTGCAGATCAAAGATCTGTTGTGAACTAGCAAGTATTTATCTTTCAATATTAATTAAATAATTTCGTATATATAAATATAATAATTTATAAATAGAAATTTAATGGTGGTCGTCGATAAGTACATCGCTGAACGATTTTATTTCTTTAATAATCCCATTAACGTTTACACGGATTTTATTTTTAGATGAAATAGCCATTATTAGAACAGCTACATATGTATATAAAATTTAATTTACTAATTACTTAGCTGCAATAAAAACTGAGTAAGTAATAGAGTAATAAATTATTAATTTCGCTCTAAAATAAAAAATAAAAACCTATTCTTGTCTATCTTGTTTCTTATGAGAAACTAGCTGACGTTATATGCAATGTGTTAATGGCATATAAAACCAATGAGGTCTGAGAAACATTACAAAACAATCAAAATTAATATCAATAAAAAAAAACAATCCCTAAATTGATTCTATTGAAATAAGCTCTTCTTAATTACTAGCTGATTATCATTAAAACATGCTTATTACTTATTACATTAATAGAATACTCACATAGTGCTTTATATTATTCTCAATTTCGTGTATAATATAGTATATATCATATATGTGTAAGTATATTTGTTATTCATATATATTTATTCGTCTATATATGTAATTTTAGTATGTATGTATATCAATAATTAGTAGAACCGCATTCGAGTATTCTGACACTTCCCTATGGTTGACTGGGAGAGTATGCTTTTAGCATTAAGTCCGCCATGTACACATATTTGTACTAATGAATAAATAAATGAATTAATTATTTAATTGAATTTACATACTTATATTAGAAATGCAGTAAAAAAATATAAAAGACATCAAATCAGTATTTACTAATATTAAATAATGTCGTCATCATTATATGAACTGTCCACTGCTGAACATAGACTGCATATTGAGGTATCTTGCCAATAGATGCCTCACTTGGCAGGCGGGTTGACAACCGCAAATAGGCTAGGATCATTTTCAAGAAGAGATCCTGTTGCTAATCCCTTAACCATTAAGTTTCCTTAGTCGCCTCTTACGACACCTACGGAAAAGGAAGTGGTCACCCATCCTATATCGAGAAAGGCAGCGAAAGTAATATATTTACTAAGATTTAATGAAAATATAGTTAACTAATAATTAACTCGACCATAAGACAGTCTGCTAACGTCTAATAGTACCTGGTACCAATAAAAAAAATTATAATTGAATGTTTCACTAGTTTCATATTTCTGTGATAACTTAATCAAAACTCGGCTATTTTTCATTAGGTTCTGTAAAAAACAGCCCGTAATTATATTTGTTTGTGGCTCCAATCAATATGTTATATCTATCTACCTATCAATAGGTATTCATTATCATTAGCTAAGTATCTAATCAATTTACTGTGCATAATATGTCGATCAATTGTCACAGATCTTGGCTATTTATTAGCTATACTTAAACACAAAATACTTAGAGGTGATAGTTTTAATGAAATTGACCAGCTTTCTGGAAGGCAACATACTATGATAGTGGGAGTTCGATATGTAAGTATGTAAATATTTTTTGAACCTATAGGTACGATGAATACCTTGATTTAATCAAGTGATTGAATGTTCTTGATTCATTCATGGAATGAGACTGATCGTCATGCATATATCATGATAAACTAGAGGTTTCTGGCAGATTCGTCTGCGTAAATTAACATAAAATATTATATAATAATTCTATAATAAGGTCTCTTTGTTTTAAATTTCGTTCAAATCCATTCAGCTATTTAAACATGATGAGTAACAAAGATTTTTATTTATATTTATAATACTAGATTATATCCACGACTTCATCTGCGTGATTAATAAAAAATAGACTATATCCTTTCAATCCATTACATAAAACATAAATAATAGACAAAACACCAAAAGGTGATACTCAAACAAACTCACTTTCACATCATATTTGTTCTAATTAATAAAATTTGTAAGCAAAAAAGGCCCCGTGACTATACGACACAGCGAATTCTGTTGTGACGTCTTTGGAACAAAATGTATAACTGTTACATATCTTTTCAGTTTCAATAAATATTATTATAAATAATTATAATAAAATTGTAACTATCAATGTCTACGTAGGCTTATGTCCAGCAGTGGACGGATAATGGCTGAAATGATGATGACACATAATATAAGTTATTCCGGGTATATGCATAACCTTTAGTATTATTACTTTACTGTGTTATAACATACAAATGAAGAAGTTAATTATGATTTCGTTTTCATTTTGCCGAGTTGCTAATCACAAAAGCCCGGACAAGTGACTAGAATATTAAGTAACAAAGCGTTAAATTAACTGTTTATGAATATAACAGAATGGAACTACTTATAAATGCTCGACATTTAAATTTTTCGAAATATCACTGTAGGCGCAAAGGGACTAAGGAAATTCAATAAACAAAATGTAGTAATAATTAAGATTGTATTCCATAAAAAATAACAACTTCAATTGTAGCAAAACCAGTTATTTTAAAAAATAAACTACTACCCATATTTTGATAAAATTTCTAAGGGAATAATCTGTAATATATCCTTTCAAATAAAAAAAAAAAGAATTTTCCAAATCGGATAACAATCTTAAAAAATTACAACCGAATTAAGTACCTTTTTTTTTTAAGTCGGTTGAAAAGACAAGTTTATGATTAGGTAAAATTTAAGAAAGTCGTATCAATTTAAAGAAAAATTACTTTAAATTTGGGTAATAATTAAAAATTGCTACTGGCGACACTGCATTTCGTTTTATTTGTCGATTTGTGTTAAAACCCCTTTTTATCTATCTTATTTTATCGTTTTATTTATTTATTTATTATTGATGCGTATAAATTCGCAACAAGTTTGTTCGATTTTCCTGAAACATATAGCCTGATCCGGTCATTAGTGCATAGAATAAAAAATGCAGACTGGAATATCTGCTCACTTTAAAACCTATGACTAGATACATATTGAAAAAAAAAATTTACTTATTAATTTATTCTGTTTAATAATGATGCAATAAATTCAGTGAATAGTAAAATCAGTACGAGTACGAGTGTACTGATTTTCGCCGAATTCCTATAGATCTTGTTTAATTGCTGAATCCCACCACAGCTACACTTTAAATTTGTTAAAGACATTCAAAAGAAATAATAAGTAAATAAAAATAGATATATTTAATTATAAATGTCATTAATTTAATAGTCAAAATGAATTTATTTTCATTGACTTTCAAAAACTTTTTGTTACGTATAATTTATTTCTTCTATTTTACATATTACCTATTATTGAAGCCTTTCTGAGGTTACAGTGAAGTATTTGCAACTCAAAACTTTTAAAGTATATCTTAAATAAGATATTATTGACAATTAACTTCATAATAAAAAATATATTCTGTAAATGAATTTTTTATACAAATATCATGTTCTAAAGTTGGCTTTCACTTATGTGTGTTTTTTATTTTATACTAGCTTTTACCCGCGACTTCGTTCGAATATGTTTACTGACCAGTCATGTCCTACTCTATTCCATATATTATATACTATACCAAATTTCATAATGTTAAGCCATTAAGGCGCTATAAGATAACAAACTCACAAACTTTCACGCTTGTAATATTAAAATAAGGATAATATATGTCATAGATATCTCGTAAAACTCACATTTACAATTTCTACATAAAAATTAAAATTGGAAAATAAATATTAGTTACATTCTAAAGGATTGTACATACAGAAATAAAAAAAAAATGTAATTTTCTGTACCATCAAAAAAAAAATAACAGCATTTCGGTCCAATAATATTAAACGTAAACAAAGGGATGTAGGTAGATAAGTACCTATTATTATCTATGTTGCCTGTTTACTCTTTGACCTGCGCCAACGCATATTATAAAGCGATAAAGGTCGTGCAACATAGTCCATCAAATCGACCAGTCTGTTAACGCCGCGCGAGTCGTCTCTACGTAAACGTTAGCGCGCTAAGTTATTATTTTTTTTAAATATGTTGTTTATATTGACAGTTATAGTGCTGCTGGCGAGTGCACAGGCCAAGTTCTACACTGATTGTGGTATTTATCATTATTATTGCTATAATCCATTATTGCGTGCTATTGCAATCATGCTATTGTGACAATTAGAGTTCCGCTAACAACTGATTTCGTATGAAGGAAAGGAACGGTCATTATAACTAACAAATACGCCCCTTATCCGTTTAGTAAACAGCTAACATAATACAAAAAATAATAACCTTAGAAAAGATATTGTTGTATTTTCTACCTAATAGTATGCACTCCTTTCATGGTGTTGTTAAAAGCAAAATCGGATAAGTAAAAAATATGGGTTCGAGTCTTGTCAAAAAGTTGGTAATTTACAATATAATTGATATAAGAGTAAATAAAATTACATTTTTTTGTGTGCACATAACAATTTGAAAATCTTTATTGTAAATCAATATAAAATAAGTAGCAAGAAATGCAACTAAATCTAATATCATAATTTTTTACCCTTTTTCTTTTGTAAATTTGGGGTCGGCATACCTAATATGCTTTTTTCTTCGCTTTATCAATATTCACTCTCTTTTTTACTAAATCCTTATTGACATACTCCGTCCATCTATTTTTAGATCTCTCTATATGCTAATTAGTGATCGTACACTTGTATCACAGTATTATTTTTACCCCTACTTATCACATGCCCATATTAAGACAAATGATTTTATTTGAAAAACAAAGCAACAGTTGTGTTACTTGCCCGTTTTTCTCAGCTAAAATTGCATTCCGAACTGGGCGGTAGATTTATAAGAAAGGTGACTATTCATAAATGCTTATTATTAAGTTCATTTAAATAAAAATTATTATTATTACTTCTGTAGGTACTTCTCTATTACTGACACTACTTTTAAACTAATTAAGATATACGTTCTTAATCTTGTCTATTTAAGGGAAAAGGAATTGTTAGTAATAGGATCTCACAACTACATTGCTAGCTATTGCTATGTTCGACCTCTACGCAGTTCACCCTGGAAACTATCGCGGTTAACTCTTGAAGAATTTGTCACAATGCGCTAACTGACCTTCTTTCATGCTCAGCTATCATCACTCACTGGTGCCCCCGCCAATGTATACTAATAGTACCATTCCATTTTTACCCATATTCTTATCTCAATTTCTCAACATACCTACCTCCAGTTCAGCACTCGCATCTCAGATACATGTATCTAGTTCTGTTTTATCCGTAGGTGTGATTTTTACATTTGACATATAAATAATATTATGATTCGTGATCGCAAACGCATCAAAAAAACTTAGCACCTAATCAACATTCAATATAACTTTCTGTACCTACATAATAGCCAGTTAATCATTTTTCATGGTAAATAAACATTAAATTTATTCAATGCAATTGCTAGTTTTACTTAATAACCGCTTTAATTATTTTAGAATCAACTTTTTGTCCATTACTTCGTACACGTGAATTTCAGAAATAGGAAAATCAATGAAATAGATCTCTTTTAGATGGCGTATCAAAATAAAACATATTCGAAATTTAAAGTTAGATACAATTGTAAAAAATTTATCCAATTCGATGAAGTAGTTTTAACAGAGTCCAGGAACAAACTTAGCTAGGTATAGAATGGCAAACAAAATTTCTAAGAATATTTCATTAGTTTCTTTTGCTTTTATTAAGACCCCTCTATCAATTCATCTTCAATGTCTCCCATGTACAGACATTATCTAATTACAATTTTATCATACTATTAGAAAAATAAGATGTTGTTACTTAAATTAAATATTATACTTTAAATAAACAGATTCTTAGAGCGATGCAATTACCATATACCTATCATACTAAAGATCTGTACAGATGATGGATAATTTGTATAAGTCATTAACATTTTTTATGGATAATAAATAGAATGAATGAAGAATGGAGTTACCCATTCCCGCTATCAGTATACTCTGGTGAAACACCAAATGAATGATCTTCGGCACAGTAAAAGCAGATCAAATGGTTTCCAAGATATGTTACTAGAAATAAGATCGCTAATCCCTGTTACTAACAATCCCTTCGCCCTACATGTTTACCTTAGATGTTTACTTTAGACGTAAGCAGGGATTTTATGACCTAACTAGAATTTTCGTCTATGTTTCTCTCTGGACGAAACAAACATGAAAGGAAATTTTAAACGTGAACAAATCGTATTTCTTCTATACAGACCGCAAAGGATTATGGTTACTATCATTTTTTATTTTATTATTTTATGTCATATAATCTATATTGTAAATACTTACAGAGTAGAAAAGAAAAACGATCTTATATTGTCTTCACGTCACTAACATTGATAAATTATTTATTTATTAGTAACATTTTATTATGTAGAGAAATCTTATTGTAGAACACAAATTTATTAAAAATGTACAGAATAAAGAAGGAAATTTCTCCACAATTTCGAAATCTTAGAACGAAAATAAATGTTTGCGCGGTAAACTTCAACAGTCATGCTAAAAATAACCATACTGTACAAGCGAATTAATATCAACAAATAACTATATAATTAGAAATCACAAAGTAAATAATAAATAAATAAAATATAAAAAAAAATATGAGTAGAAAACTGCGAAATAGTCACATTTAAAAATCGAACACCATAACTTTCCGTGAAAAAGTACAAAGCAAAAGTAGGATTGCGACATTTAAAATACATAATTATATCGTTGATATAGTATAACATTATGTAGATATTTGAAATAATAAGTACTAGGAATAAATTAATTAATATGCCATCCTAAACAATTATTATGACATAATTATACATTTATCTAAAATAATATTATAAAGAGGAGAGATATAATTTAATGTTTTTGTAACGGATAAACTCAAAAAATACTTAATTCATTTTAGAAATTTTTTCACTCATAAAATACTACATTACCATATTTTATTTTCTCTACCCATGCGTAATAGGGACAGATGGCTAGATATATAAGGCACATTGACAGCTGTTACATGATTAAAATTTAATTAATTATAACTGGATATAATCACAGTTTCACAAAGGGAACATATTGTATTACTATGATAACGTATAGATATTAAATATAAATCATTATTTTGGTATATAATCACGTACAGACTTTAATTAATGAGAGAATGATATCTACAGTAATAAATTGGCACGTATTTACCCTGCTCATTGTTTTTAAACTAGATGTTTAATATCCGTGTTATATTTAATGATAAAAAGACATCTTGAAAAACAACATATTTGATTAAATAATAGTAGTAACATTTCTTTGTAAGATCCAATCATACATGTATAAAATAAGTACAAAGATAAAGTTTCCACAATAACATTATATAGAAAGGAATATAATACATATATATTTAAACACATAAAGGTATAGTAACTAACCGCAACTAGTGTATAGCTATGCCCTATTGGACAAAACACTAGTTTTCTGCTATCAAATGCTATGTAGTCAGACTACGGGATGGTGATTAGCCCACTTTATACCTGTATATAAAATAAAGACAATGTTATACATACTTTTTGTCCATCAAAATGGAAAACATAGAATGTAATAAATGTATAAGTCTTCAATGTATATAACGAGCGAACAAAAGTATCTTGTTTTTTTTTTTTTGCGATTATTGGTCAAATTTAAATTCGATCAATACAGATTGAATCCAATAAACTCCTCCACTTAATTAGCTACGAAATCACACCTAAAATTTTTAACATAGTTAAAAATTAAAATAAAATGTACCCAAGAGATTGCTAGTTAAAGGGACTTCAGTCCCTATTATTAGTAATATACCTGATCAGGTTGATTTCACTAAGGTCTCTTTTGGAAACCATTGTGATAATTCGTAGTAAATTTATCACGATGGGTCAATTTATCTGACTTCAACCTCACCTCGCGAAATACGAGAAAAAATACATACGTGAAAAAAAAAACGAATGTATGCGCTATCCAAATTACACAATACAGACGATGTAACGAGAAACAGCTAGCTGTATAAGTTACAAAGGGTCAATCAACAATAGGTGAATTTGTCAATACTCATTCAAATAAACATGAATTAGGTAGATGCTGTGTGCACCGAACCATACTATCTAACCACCCATGCAATTCAATTCTTTGTCTAAAGTAGTTCAATAATAAAACTCCATCACAGTTTACGTTTTTTTAGCTACATAATAAATATATTAGCATCTAGATAAATTTACAAAAAAAATATGCATTGACCAACGCATACATTCATTGAAAATGTTTGGATGGAAAATAGCATTAATTTTATTAATTCATGACAACGTTCTGTACTAGGTCAGTGATTCATGCAATTTCAAATGACAAATTCTTTTTGTTTAATACTGCAATATAAAATATTTCTTTAAACAACTGGATAATATCAACCACAATAAAAACAAAAACATACAAACACATTCACAGTAACGTCAAGTTACTCGTACCTTTGAAGACACCTAGAATTTACATTTTGGCTGAATTGGAACTCCCATAATCTTTAACCTAACTGAATGCCTGCTTCCATGGTATAATTGAAAACGCAAACCAGGTCTACTCTTGAATTCAATATGAATATAAATCCAATCTATTGCCAAGGACAATTTTATATTGCACTCATGAAGCAACGGTTAGAAATTAAATTATAATTGGGATCGGTTTACAATAGTTTGCATTAACAAGTTACACTAACATGCATCTATCAGAACAATATAGAACCATTATGTTGCTAGTACTGCAATTCGAGAGTGCGAAACGTCTCAATTTCAATATCTCTTTATTGGAATTTATTTCAAAAGTAACCCCACGATAACTAAGAAATAGGTACTTTAAGTGATATAGACTATTCATTTATTATTTCACACAAAACATAGCCACGAAATCCATCCAATATATCCACACATTCCTAGAGATTTTTAAAGTGAATCAGCATAAATATTAATTATTGCACGAGCTACGTAAATTGAGAAGATTCATCTACTTTCTACTAGCACGCACTCGGCAATGCCGCACAGTCATTCAACTTGAAAGACAAAGAATTGTGGGTCACCCAAATATAATACCATGCATGAAAAAAATATGCATTTCTTGGTTGCGTAGCACACTGCTACTATCCGTGCATCACGTTCATTTCTACCTTGTATATCTAGATTGGTGACAACGTACGGGTAAACGCAGTGTAGGACGACCCTCCACTAGATGGAGTGACGACCTGACATGCATTGCAGGGAGTCAGTGAATGCAGGTGGCTTAAGACCGTTCTCTATGGCAGTCTAGTGGGGAGGTTTATGTCCAGCAGTAGACGGATAATGGCTGAAATGATATTGATGATAATATCTAGATTGTAGCATGAGTTGTCCCCTTAAAATATAATCTGGAGCATTTCAAAAAACGTGCCTACAAACATTAAAAAGGTGACAACGCACAAACAACTCTCCTTGTGTTGCGGAACACAAGGAGAGTGTTGCGGGTGTTCAGTAGCGACGGTCCACCTGATGGAACCTACCGTTCCATCAGTTGGACCGTCTGCTCGTTTGCCGTCCTAACAATAAGAAAAATATATAGTTGTACAAAACTCAATAAAATTTTCAGACTTTAGTCCATATACTCTTAAATAATTAATGGGTCTCTGGACTTATCTTTCATTTACTCTCATTCTCCACCACTCTCTCTTACATTTACATTTTAAATATCATTTAAGAATAATTACAATAAAAAGAAAATAAATAAAAATCCCTTTCAAAACAAGCATTGCAGCATGTTTAATATATGTATAATTCAAAGTTTCAAAGAACTTTGCCTAAATTTCAGGATCTCCATTGGCCAGCATAGAGAGCGTCGAAGTCAGCGGATGTAAAGATGACGCCAAAGAATGTATACTGAGAAGAAACACTAATGCCAGCATTTCAATCACGTTCACGCCATGTAAGTATAATCAAAGTGTAGAGGTTAAAACAAAATTAATAAGACAAGATGAAAACAAAATCGTTAGCGATGTTTTAAAGAACCAGTGAAACTGAAAATTTTCCTCAAAGTATTTTTAATTTCCCATACTAACACGGGGTACGAGTATAACGATGACAAGTTAGTTACGGGAGGATTAAATTTTTTTGGTTATAGCGCCAAGAAGTAATATAAAAACTTACTTTCTATTCGAGTACATAATCGAAAGTATCTCAAATAATTGGATAGAGCGACATAATTTAGAGAACATAGTATATTTTGTACTGTTTATATCTAAATATGATTTCTTTTTATCAAGCGGACGGTTACTAAAATTAAAATCGAATCTTAACAACTTTACTTATTCGTACTACAGTAAATTATTTTAATTAAAAATATATATTCAAAATTGACGATATTATGGCGTAACACTTTAAAGTCATTGGTAACACTTAAAATTTAAAATTCAAAATTTAAAAATATATAGTCGATCTCCACTTTGAAATCTGATCATTCTGTTTCAATTTCAGCAAAAGATATAAAATCTTTAGTGACGGAGGTGCACGGTGTCATCATGAACCTGCCGGTGCCATTTCCACTGCCTCAGCCCAACGCCTGCCAGGACACCGGCCTCGTTTGTCCCTTGAAGGTCTTTTAATTTTTATAATAATGTTATAATTAAAGAGAGACCAGAAGAGTTGTCTGTTTGGGTGCCACTGTCCCAGCCGTGTTAGTATTTAAAGGGTGAACAATGAATACTGAGTACAGAGGTGAAAATCGTTTATTCACGCAGAACATTTTTAATCACTTATACACGTATGAAGGGTAATTTTTTTTTTTACTTTAATGAGTGAAAATGAAATAGTAACTCCGCCTATGCTATCGGTATATGCTGGCGGATCACCAATGAGAAATATTAAGTGAGGTTAAAAGTAGATTAGATAGCCCATCATGACAAAATTTTACAAGAACCACGATTGTATTCCAGATTGAAATACTAACAATCTCTACTATGAAGGATAGAGTACAGATGTCACTCTATATTCTGTGATATCCATAATGCTGTACATATGAATACAGGCGAAGGCTACCACATTCCATCAGATGAACTGTCAGCTTGTCATTAAAAGTTTTATAAAAAACGACCCGCCCCTGCTTCGCCCTAGTGCACATTACAACACATCACATTAGAAACCTCTAAAATTATCAGTGTTTCTCTACAAAATTATGCATGTATTATACATATAAACTTTCCTCTTGAATCACTCTATCTATTAAAAAACCGCTTCAGCGTAGGCGGAGTTACCATTTTATTATCATCCAATAAAAAATCTATTATCCCAGGGGGAAGAGATTGTTAGTACCTAATGCAAATTACTAGTCCCATCGCTAGCCAGCGTCTACCGTTATTGCAGGCGGAGCTACCATTTCATTATCATCATCCAAAAAATCTGTCATCCCTCACTGGTACCCCGCGAACGTAAACCGATAGCACCGAAGGGGTTATCATTCTATTTTCAACTTATAAAAAATATAACCATTCTGTTAGAATCAATATGATAAAACGTTTACTATTTATGAAATAAGTATAATTAATGCAATTATCGTTACAGGCCGGTACTAAAGCCAGCTACAAAGCAACGTTACCAGTCCTGAAATCATATCCCAAAGTGAAAGTAGACGTGAAATGGGAGCTTAAAACCGAAGACGACGAAGATGTAGTGTGCATCCTAATAACATCCAGAATCAATTAGATATATGAAACATTATACAAAGAATATAAATAAAGTGATATCTCTTTTAAATGTGTACGAATTTTTTTTTTTTTTTGCGTGGGAGTAACAAAGTATAGGTAGATCCATTTTTTTACTAACAGATAAGATTAAGTAGATACTAAGAAGTATTAACATCCCTGTTGTTATGAAGCCTTACGTACGTACTATTGCCAATTGTACGATATACATATTTCAACCGACTTCAAAGGGTGAAGTATTCAATTTGATTTTCTCGCAACAACTTATATAGATCTATATAAATGCTTTGCTAAAACATACCAACATTTGTATCCATGTATGCATAAATAGAGTTACCGTAATTATATTTATTACTCCGTATATAGAAAAAAATACATTATAAGGTTAAATTAAGATATAAAAACGATCTAAAATTATTAGGAATATATTTGAAATGAAGGTAAAATGTACATAAAGCTTTGTAATAAATGATATGTTTAAAATCAGTCAAATTGATTCAACCAAATATCAATTTCGCCGACTAAATCTTAATACGTTTTTGACCGTCGATGCTCTATCTATATAAATTGCACAATCAATGACTGAAATGGTGTTAAATTCGCCTTTTACACTAAGTGTAATGAAGTTCAATAAATAAATATATGATGACTATAAATATGATTTTGTTTGTTATCTCTCAGCATTTGATTTTTGTATACATACTCGTATAGTAATATTTTTAATTTTACTTGAAAATATCGTCATTCACCCGCTATATTTTTATTTATAGTGTCATTCGTGATCTAAGGATACTAACAATACCATATCACATGATACCTTAAAACATTAAAAACCTTTTGTAGTCGTGCCATTGATAGCAACATACCCTGTCAGGTCGACTTCCACGTGCCCCTCCCCCCCTGATTACCATAGTGTTGAATTCCGGTGTATTCATAAGGATGGGCTTACTGACCTGCCTTTTCATCCTCAACTATCATCCCTTACTGGTGCCTCGTCAGCGCTTACCATTAGCGTAAATGGGGTTATAATTTCTGTCATCTATTAAAAATATATATAAATAACCTTAAAAGTATGTGTACATAAAAAATTAACTCATTTAACTCATATAAATAACCGTTTATCGCAGGATTGCCTTCATTAATCAGTATATAATATAAACCATGTTTTTAGTTACAACTTACCCGTGTGCTGTAAGCCATTCAAATCCGTTCAGTCGTTTATATTCGATAATGGATATACACACAATATTCCCAACTTTAACATTTATAATATTAGTAGGATTTAGTAAGATTTACAAGTTTAATCCAATTTAAAAATCACAAAAATAGCTAAACTCGTCAACGTTACATATAAATATCAAATAAGAAAATAATTACTTAAAACCATGCTTTATTTGCGTCTCGTTTACATAAAAAGCACTTCTGCGATATAAAAATAGTCTTACTACAATATCGTAGTTTAGTATCAATACATTTATTTTTTAAAGATATAATAGTTCATCACCCGAATTTTGATGCGTATAACAACGATATATGCAAACTAAACTTTAAGAAATGGACATAAAGCGTAGTTTTGTCCAGCGGGTCTACCATGAAATGAAATCCCGAAATTTCGGACTTAATTTCGTGTTTTTGTTTATACCAAAATCGGACGAATAAATGATGTTTAACATTTCGTTCGTCATACATCCTATCATAAAAGTCCAAAGGAACAATATTTTAACATTTTTAATATTTCCAAACGACATGTATTATGTAATTTCAACATCAAATTTGTGTTTCGTTTGGCTCCGAAATTTCGGAAAACACTTCATGGCAGGCCCTCAGAACACAATTATTCCACGCACCAAGACTCAGCTACAGATAATTTTACACCTAAATTGACTAGTCCTTATAAAATAATTTACTGTCTTTTTGAAAAGGCAACAAAAGCTTTTTATACATTTGATAAATAACTCATTATGTCAGAACTAAATAACTAGCTCATGTTAAAATGAAAATTACAAAATATAAAATTGCTGTTTACAAAACACTATTAATACTGCCCATTCAAATGATAATGTAGAGGTGTAATAAAATGGATATAACAAGCGAAATCTGGCTGGATAATTCATGACAATGAACAACTTTCCTCAAGGAACATAGATTAAAAAAATGTTATTAAAAATGAATAAATATTTAAAAAATAAGGGTGTGAATTTATTTTCTTATTTTCTGCATTAAGGCCTCTCAATAATAAACACCTTAAAAATATTTTTCTTTTAAAGTTTACCACTTCACCAAACGCCTTCTCTTATTTCTTCAATTTCCATATTGTTACACTATAAAAAAAGCATTTATAGGGTTGAATTGAGAACCCCTTCTCCTTTTCTTAAAGTTGGTTAACAAGTACTATAAATTTCTGTATACAACGCCACCTAGTTGTATACGGTATGCACATACCTATTATAGTTCTCAATTGTAAGGATACGCTCATGTCAACATGATTCGAGACAGAATGCTAGTGAAGAGGTACGACATAATGAATGAAATTCTAATTGGTTGGTTGACTCAGTCGGAGATTGATTAATAAGAATAATTTGTAGAGTTTCTGGTAATAATAGTAGGCAATTTTCGAGTGTTGACAGTAGCACGCATACTAATAATAGCGGAATTAAACAAATAACCAGTGAAATAGACATCTGCAAAATAACACACAGTTCAGTAAAATTAGTTGACTATATAAGGCAAAAGAAAAGGGAAGAGTACTGCCTACAGTAGCACCCATCTACACGCCCTTTCAATATATAAAAAATTCTACTCATAAGACTAATTGCAGTTATTAATGGACAGAAAAGTCAGTAGTATTATCTTCATACTAGATGGCGTTGTTGCAACACCACAAAAGAACTGAAAAAACCCATTTCAATTAGAATCTATTACCTTGTATTTTTCAATATTTCATTTACTAATCTATGCTCATTGAAACAAATTCATCAAGTTTAAACAGTAACATGGACAATATAATACTAATAACTATTAGTAATATAGTATTCTTACTAATAATTTACTAATGCTGGACTTTGGCTTGTTATGCCATTTCTGTCACCTCCTATTATATAGCAATTTTAATTAAAAATTAATTTCACTTGTTTGATCTATTAGTATAACAAAAAAAAATTACAACAAAACAGTCCTCTACTCACTGGAGATTAACATCCAAATTATACAATTTCCATACTGACAGCAACATGCAATAACCCTGTAATGTCTTATTTGAGATAACAAATCCATAAAAACTTTGAATATTTTTTTCTACATCAAACAAATAGTATAAAAAATTGTATCCAGTTTCAGTTAGGATTTTTTCTTAATAGTTCCTTTACATCTACAACATAACTGTTGTTCAGACTTAATTTTTTTTAAATGTAAATTAAATTCTTCTTTCAAAATTTTCCTATACATTGACTCTTTAACAGGTACCAAATTCTCATTGCTACAGTCACTATAATACATTGTATACATTTTTTTTATACTTAAACCAGGTGGTAGATATTGCTTTTTCTTTGAAAACTGTTTTATTGATTTTGATTCTACTGTTTTAAATGACATTATATGTTTTCGAACTCTATCCTTTACTTCAGCAGGTAAACTATGAGTACTTGCTTCTGATAATCCCCTACCATCAGGTTTGGGTAAATTCATATCAGATTTTCCCAAATGTACATTATAAACTGGTTTCTGTGATATAGCTAAAGTTCCTAAATAAAAATTCTTACACACTGTATACCTTACTGCTCTAACTAGAAAAAAATATTTAAAAGAATACTTTCTCTTGTGTTGACCATCCATAATTTTATGTCTGGCATGATTTCTCTCTGTTGTATTTAGTAAAAAGTGTCTTTTCTCATTCGCATTTAAAGAATAGAAAGCCCTAAATATATGTTCCCGATCTGTATTGTTAATTTTCTCATTACATTTGTATTTACAAGTTTTGAGACAGTCTTTAGTATTTTTCACTCGTCTTTCAGGAACATATTTCCCTCTTCTGCTAATGTAGGCCTCCCCTCTTTGATGCTTCATTTTACGTATGTTGCAAGCCCACTTTTCTGGGTTTGGAATTTGACTCCTTGTTCGCTTACTTGATGGTACAATTTCTATTTCTATTTGAGCACTTTCTGATTTACACCTAGAAGGAAATCATGTTGATAGTTAGCAAAATATTTCATGTTATCTAATTTACTCCTAATTTAGTAATTTTGATACTAGTATATTTGTAATTATAATAAACACCAAACTTAAAACTACCAAAGTAAGAATGAAACACCACACCACAATCAGTAGAAGTCCTTCTCCATTAGTAACTATCACAGGAGATAACATGTAGACATGTTTATATACTTATTTAAATAACTTTGTTGGCCAAAATAAAGCATGGTACAAGAGGTGTACTTAATGCATATGTGTCACTTTAGTTTTAGTGTGACACTTTTTTCCCCCAAACAGAATATCCACAATTAAAAAATTAAAGCTTAAAAACCCAATGAACAAAATATCCCATATTCTCGATGTTTTATAATATGTAACAAAAAGGATAATGAAGTTCATCACAATCTGAATGTTTTCTTTTCCACTATGGTTGTAGAAAAAAATTCTGATGATGGTTTATAGCACTAAAGCATGGGCCCTTCCCCTTTTTTTAAGGGTCAATAATGAACATGTGATGCCTCTAACATTACAAGTGTCCATAGACTATAGTAATCATTTACCATCAAATGTGCTATATACCTATTTGCCACTATAGTAATATAGGAAAAAAGAAAAAACTTACTCCATCTTTTTGTCAGTTAACCCTGGCTCTTCTTTAGTTACAACACACTGCTCCTTTTGATAATCATATCCATAATATTGTTGCTGTTCGCTACTCAATAACATGTGCTGTTTGAATACAGGAGGTTGAGGCATCAACATATGTGAAGTCATCTGCAAACTCTGAGCCATATCTGAACTTTGCAATGTGATGTGACCCTGTATTTGTTGTAAATTCAAATTCAAATGTGCCTGCTGACATGGAATGGATATTTGATTCTGATTTAATTGTATGTGTGGGTCATTATTATGATTAGTCACAGGCATATGGAGAGTGTCAGACACAGATTGCTGATAGGTAATTTTCTCTTGTGAATCTTGCAGTGACGGATGTGAAATATGAATTATTTGAAAATTTTCAATTTTATTGTTTGATATGGAAGGTTGATAAACTTGGACAATGTGAGGTATTGTCTGTGCCTGATGTAGTTGCTCCATGCTTGAAACCTGAAAATATAAACGTTTTTATAACTACTATCGGAATCTGGAACTCCCTTTTAAGAACTGAAGATTGTAAGATACTCTTAACTAAGTTTCTATTGCACTAAGAACGAATTAAGTAGTAATACAATAAGTTTAACTTTTTAGTGTTTTTATTGTTAAAATTTATCACTAAATATTCTTAGCGACGATTAAATTTATTATTAAATTGAAAAAGATTACAAACACGAAACTAGTAACAGATTTAATTTAAAGAGGTTATAAACAATTGCATACTTTATATCGGCGTGATGTGTTAATAAAACTTTCTTATAATAAATGCTATATAAGTAATTCACAAAAATATATGGGTATGATGGTATGATAGAAATTCAATAACGGCAGATAAAATTTGTTTTGGTTTGTGCGATTAGAAACTATTAAGATTCTTTGTTTTGCATTTTTTAATAATAAAAATGAAATGACAGATTACAAATGCCAAATTGCCAACACAGATCAAGTAATCCCTGTGTTATAAGAGTCGACAGCAGCCTTATGTAGACGAAACCTAAAAAATGAAAAGCATGTTACCTTTTCAATTTAACAACACAATGTAAATTATAAAAATAAAAAATGACTCTAAAATGTTGTACCATATTTATCTAAATTATATATATATATATATATATATATATATATATATATATATACTGTCATGGCGCCTATTCAAGATGCTCATGATCCGGCATGACGGAATAAAGGATCTTAATATTAGTTGGGAATGATAACATATATTCGTACAAAAACAACATTCTGTTGGTGGCTTGGATGCCAAATGCCACTATCTAACTGATGTGATTAACTGGCAACGTCGTGTACACAGATCAGAGAAACTGATTAGATTAGAAATTAGAAATATACAGTACACCTTGTTCTTAGTACAAACTACTAAGAACCTAAAAACAAGGAATTACATAGAAGGAATGATAAAATAAAATCTGTAAATCATATGGTTGTCTACTTTCTTCTTTAGCAAATATATATAGTAAAAAGAGGACGAAAGATATATCATCAGTTGCTATTTTTCTCAATTCATAGCAGGATAGTGTATAGAAAATGTTTGATATGTCAATTATTTGTCAATGACAAATTTTACATTACTAGATTATATATTCGACAAAGTTTATACAGAAAATAAAAAGCAAGTTATATCGGAATTTTTAGAGTTATACAGCCGTATATAATTTTTTATACATTAGTATATATATAATATTATATATATATTATATAAAAGGCCGGCAGCAGACCTGCAATGCCGCTGGTGTTGTGGGTGATCATGGGCGGCGGTAGTCACTTACCATCAGGTGAGCCGCATACTCGTTTGCCCCCTGTGTTGAAAAAAAAAAAGTTTAGGGTGCATAAAAGGCACAAAATATAAATATTTGTAGAAAGGGCTCGAATAATATTGGCGGGAATTATGAAAAAAAAGAAAACGTATTTTAATTCGTAATTATATTTAAGGTAATCGGATACAGTTACATGAACAATACCGGGATATAACATAAACTAAAAAGACGCACAAAATTACACATAATAAATGTAAGTTCATTTTAAAAATCTATCCTTTTAAATAATAAGTATTACAGAACCATTACAAATGAGTTATAATTGTAGAAAAAAAAAAATTTTAGATTGTAAATAGATACAAAACGAGATTTTTGACTTTGCTTTATATAATATATTAAGTATTAGCTATTTTAAAAATTTTACGTATTTTTCACCAACTATTATTACTAGATGGGAGAACGTAGCTTGAATAGCATAGAAGTATTGTTTCTTTATACTTTTACCTACAATAATTGAAATAAGTAGGTAGTATTCCAAAATTTTAAAAGTATATTTAATGTTTTCTATAATACTTTATGTATGTATATTACTAATATTTAATATTAGTAATATAAATATAGGTATATTAACCTATATTTCACTGCAGTTGTGAAATTTTGGGATGTGGCCAGAAAACCTGTCTTATCGTATTTTCTTATAGTAGTTTTTAGCTTTTATACAAATTTATTATCGATACATATATGATGCATTTACTAACATAGGTACTGTATAATGTATATTTAAAAACAAAGATGTAAATACTTTAGATAACCTTATCAGAGTAACATACAAATAGAAAGCTCACAATTGTGATCCTTATACTTCACTGAATGTAGTATTTGTCATATTTAATTCCAACGTAGCGCTCACTAGCGTATCTCGGATCAATTTAGTTTGATTTTCATCATCGAAAAATTTGTCAAAAATTTTAAATGACACGATTTTTTATATCGTCTAGGCGAAATAATACTCCAAATTGGAGTCTCCAATCAGTTCTATAGATTAATGTACCATGTAATGTACAAACCACATTATTAAGAACTTAAAAAAAAATACGTATTTTAATAAATTACTAGCATAAGTAATTATATACTTAAAATAGAAATACTTAGGTAGGCAATAAATCGTTTCATTGTTTTTAAATGAATTTAATACAAAACTCAATTACTTTATTATCAAATATCATACACTCGGGTCAATGTTATCTGTAATGATAGTAATCTTCTTCACAAAACAATATGATTATATAACAACATTAAATAAACAAGATATTTATATTTGACTACTGTAATATACTATAACAAGCATTATTCCCAACATCTACCGAAGAACTCTGATAACAGCCTGACAAATGGAATATCTTTGAGCGATAAGTACGCTTATGTTTATTCTGTAATATTTATTTAATACTTTCTTTAAAACTATGCCCCAATCGTAGATTTTGTATAATAGATTGAAAATAACCTTTAATATTTTAACTATGTTCTTTGGAAAATATTAAATTTTTCAAGGTCTTTCTTTGTCTTAACCTATAATTTATACAATTCAAAAAGTATCAGGACAGTATTTTAGGTTAGCACAGGCTGTGACACAGGTAAACCTATCTGAAATATTATCTTGCTTTAAAATGTAGCGTGCCAAGGTACCTCCTCTACTAAGCGAGATATTATTTCGAGTTGTTTGCATATGTACCTAGTATATCTAGGGTACATACTACATTACAGTTGAAATGTCTATCACACGTTAAAAACTTGTTATAAAAGTTCAAGACTGAAACCTCTTTAGTCTAGACGGGATATTTTTACTATAAGTAAATATTGCATATATTTAAGTGGGACTCATACTTCCAACACTCTAGACAAATACTTCCAATGCTCTAGATAAAGCGTTATATTTTCTATTATTGTAATATATGCATTGGACAAATGACTCTAGAGGGGCTGAGTTTATTCGTATAATTATATGGCACAGCTTTTAGATTTTATATTTTACATACATAATAGTATTAATTTTATCTACCTGTTGACGTTCAAGCATAATTACATAGAATTCGATTGCGTAATATCTACTTTAAATACAGTAGTAATGTCTCGTATAGTTTACATAAAAACAACATTGTTTGCACGGATTTAAATACTCCTTGGATAGTCGTATACGGAATTCATAAATTAATTATAATTTATTATAAATGAACTATTGAAACCTGTTCTCTAAAAAGTGATATACATAATCGTATACCACTAACATTATAGCACCACCGGGACCCAGCCGAAGGACTTTAGGCAGCAAACCTTTATAGAGGGCTCGAAACCTAAAAAAGAGAATTTATATTAATAAAATAACATCTATAACTGTGTCTGTTGCTATGTATTTAAAGAGATATATAAAAGGACGTATTTATTAAAGCATGATTCATATTAATCGACCAATCAATTATGACTTGAGATCTATACGAGTGCTCACGACAAGACTACTGCATTATTTAGAATTACTATAATTATAATCTATCAATTATTTAAGTTTAAATATTGTATTTAAGAATTTATCAGTAAAATAATTAATATGGCCGAGTTCTATAATAATTTAAAAAACAAAACATACTATATACCAATTTTGTTTACAGATTAACAATGTAGTGTAAGCAACGTAAAATAAATAACAGACACTCAAATTTGTTTTTAATATAAGAACTTTACAATTTCATGTGGCATTTGACCTTTAGTGATAATGGAATGTCCTCTAATGAAATGAGCGTTGAACTACGGTTTCTGGCCAAAAATATCTTTTAATTTCAATTGTTCTAACATTTTAACTTGGCACTGGGACAAGTCCCAAGTGCTTATGGTATACAAATATCAATATGTTTTGAATCTGATAATAATCCTAATACATTTTTTGTCTTGTAAATCAATATTAAATTTTTTTTTTCATAAATAAATACCATTACAATCTCAAACTGAGCAAAACTTGTATAAGTTACCTGCTAAGTAATTGGTAGACACAGGTACATACATTTTTTGTACATATACATATATTATACATAGAACACGCTTAGATCTATACAAAGAAACATATTTATAAATATAAATGTTTGTATTGTGTAGGAGTCGAACCCACAATCATAAGAAAATAAGAAAATGAGACTTTATGAGTCTCACTTTCTTATGATAGTCGGTTATAAGTCGATTATGAGACGCTGTTTCTTTCGACTGAACCTTAATTTATCCTATTTTAATTGAATTTATTTACGAAATTACTATTTTATGAACCATTCATAAACCAAATTAATTATAATTCTGATTCAAATCTATTAGAAATTAAGTTCATATTTATCCTTAGAGTAAAGATTTCGATGTTATATCTAAATGAAATTTTTATTTTAGAGACAGGTTTATAGAAATAGCTCCTTAGAATCGACTCCAGTGCATTAAATCGCAAATTATGATCAAATGAAATGTGTGAAATTTCTAATTTTAAACATTTGAAATTCTACCTATGCTGCGTCTTAACTTACCCTTCTTCTCTGTAAACCAAGACGATTGCTCCTGTAGTTGATATGTATTTTACGATTCCTGGTATAGGCTGAGGGCCCTGGATACGACTTTTGGCAACATCAAATGGTATATTCACACAAGAACCGAGAACACCAGCCGTAAATCCTATAGCTACCTTTCGGCCAAATTCCTTAATTGAATCCTGAAAAGGTAGATATAATTTTTTTTTATTTTTGTAAGTCTTTTATTAATAGTTAGAGTTGGCATATTTATTAATTAAATTAATATTATTAATTTATTAAAATTTATAATTATAATTAAACAATATGTTCGTTTTTTAGCACAATTATTGTAATATTTTTTTCATTTGATAATTGTAATAGTATAACTTTTACATTTCTAAATACAGTCATGTGACACTGTACAGAACTTACTTGATACTCCGGAACCAATCCCTTCACACTATGGTAAAATCCAAAATACACCATATTAAATACGCCATTTCTTGCTATGGTAGCTGTTAACCCTTTGTTGAGTCCCCGTGACCCTAAGCCATGCTCTCTAACAATTTGTCTCGTAACAGACCACGTACTCGGCACTTGAGCTGCTAGAGAAGTGTTTGATTGTAAAGTCACTTTGACCACTTCAAAAGGATTAACTAAAATTGCCTCCGTTATGCCAGCTCCTAATCCGGCTAATGAGAATGTCTGAAAATTATTGCATAATTACTTAACATTACGAACAGTAGTATTAAAATATGATTGGATAGGGCCCATCCAATATACATAATCTGTATCTATGTCTTTTATTACTCGTACATTTATAGAAGCTAAAGGAATGCATGTGAACACATAACGATAAAGTGAAATTCTTCTATCATTACCATACCTACTACCATTTCTTATTAACTTTGTTGCCTATGTAGTATCATTCTGTTAAAACATAATCATAATGTTAGAACAGCCATGATCAATTATCCTCGAGTACTATTGCAGAGGTCGATCACACGTAAATATATGCATTCACATGCTCAGTTTATTTTTAGAACAGACAACAAGTCCGATATGTTTACCCGAAAACGTGCAAGAAATAATTAAAATGTAATTCAAAATACCGCTAAAGAGATATTGTTTAGATAGGTAGATTATAATGCACAGACGTATCACAAATATAATAAATATTATTTACTGACGTGATTAGAAATAATTTATTATGGCTCAAGGTAATAATAAAATTTATAAAACCTTACATAACGAACGTAAATCATATAAAAACAATGAATGCTTTCATGTATAAAAACTCGCTATATTTATATATATAATTATTTTATTATTAGTGACTAATTAATTAACCCTTTTAAAAGCTGTTCACATGCTTTTACGTCTATATTTTAAAACTGCTAAAAAACAGCGACTTTAATAGTGAAAACTTAATATTAGAGCAATATGGGATATTTTATAAATTGCTAAGAAACTATTAAAATCGGAAAAGATATCGCATGATATATAACAACATATATGTTATCAAATTGAGCGGATCTTCATTTTTGAAATCGATTGACGTAAAGAACATGGAAAAACGCTTAAAGTTACAATTATATTTCAATAAATAATCTCTAATATATTTTATTTTAAAAATTAGGAGTACTGAAGAAATAATGATGAATAGAAACTCTACTTGTGATTATTCATACTCTTACTCCATATTATGGAATGATTCGTTCCGTTCACTTCCGGTTCCGCTTTGTAGAAAATGCAAAAGTTATACATTATAATGTATTAATAAACTAATAAAGTACTAACAGTACTCATTAATGTCTCTGATTACTATGTTAAAATAAAATAATACAAAACTCTTACTAGCGGTGTCGGTGTACTGGAACCAAACATAAAAAATCTTTTATACTGTTCGAAGGTTACAAACTTTACTGCTCTTTTAGGGGTTTCTGCAAGAATTGGCGGCAAAATTCCTTTCCAGAAAGATGTTAAACCTTCATATTTGTACATCTTTTTCATGCAATCCACTATTCCAGTATAATAATGACGATCACTAGATGCAGAAGATTTTGTAGCTTGTATTTGCAATCTTGTTTTAACAAGATCCAAGGGATGCATAATACAAACTTCTACAAAACCTGCACTTCCACCAGCACCAATTTGCATAGTAGCTTGTTTAATAAATTTTTCAAGTTCCGACATTTTTACGAATATATTATTTAATTTAACAAAATACACGACATACACTCTTGCGTGTATAACGCACAATAGTAATTTTTCCGGCAAATTGCTGTGTCTACTGTTATCTTAAATATACAAACCATTATATACATATTAATTAAACCAAACAGCTACATTATCGTTCTTTAAGTTTACATTATTTGGACTAAATAAAGAGTATATAACGGGGCACCAACAAGACTAATTTACAGAAATTTTGACGCAAAATTTGGTTAAGTACTTAAATCAAAAATGACAAATACGTTACTATTTAGTGTTAGTATGTTCTATTTTTTTTTATAAATAGTATACACATATTTTATACAAAATACATAGGCGGTAGCTGTAATTCCAAATAAGCACATATATAACCCGCATATTATACCAAATATACTAACTGTAAACTTTTTAGATCCGACTTTAATAAGAAAACTAATTTGAACTTTATATCCGACACATAGAACTTATAATTAATTTTATTAACAAGTTAAATGCTACCGCTTGAATGTATACGCTGCATAGAGTAATTCAACTAATACCACAGATTAAGGATAGTACTGGCTAAAACCAGATACAACACGTAGAACATTTTATCTACACAATATTTTTTTTTTATGTGTGGAAATGGTATGGTACCAGTGAAGGGTAATAGATGAGAATGAAAACAGGCCAGTTAGCCCATCATGATGAATTCATCAGGAATTAACCATGATAGTTTCCAGGGGGAACCGCGAGGAGATCGACCTGGCTGGGTATATTGCTAGCAATGGGATTCTCAGTCTCCATTACTAACAATCCCTTTCCCCCCTACACAATATAAGCTCAAGGTTTTTTGGCGAGAATATGAACAAACCTAAGTTTTAATTATTTTTATGTTTTGAAGTGGAATTAGTTTTAAATGAATATAATTACTTGTAATTAAGTGTGATGTATCTGGATGCAAAATAAAATATTATATACCAGAATTATTAGAAATAATTTAATTTGATTATTTTTCGCTATACAATTTTAGCTATATTTGCATCTTCAATTCCATATAAATTTTTAATTGTCAGTTAAATGCACACATTTACAAAACATACACCAAGTATACCTATTTTATACTGCGTCTAGGTTATAACTAATAGAACAGTAATTATAACCTATCTCCGATGAATTACTAAAATCCTCCCAAAAAAGAAAACCATTTGCTGTGGCGCCATAATTCAAGTACACGTCTCTTGATATTTCTAAAAGCATTGGGATCCTTGGTATCGACATCTGTAGTGACGTACAGCTCCGTAGCCACTATGAAAATAAGATAAAGGTGACATCCAAAAAACTGGATGTGGTTAACAGAGCGAAACAATACTTCACGCCGGATCAACAATTAATGTTCTATATATCGCAAATTCGGAAACATGGAGTATTGCTGGCACTTATAGACGGGAGCACCTAAATACCAGCTTGAATTCTTCAACTCAGTGCATCGACGAGCTATGCAAATTGTCGATGATCCCAAGATTACAAACAGTATTGAACCTTTAAGTTTCATGAGAGATTTTGCCTCACTCTGTGTGTTCTACCACTTATACAACGGATTGTACTCAGAGGAATTGTTCAATATGATGCACACGGCCGCTTTCTACCATCGTAAAGCGTCATGTTTACAGGAAGTTCAATTTACTACGGAATTCACGCTCGAGACTAGACAATCGCGTATGACACAGCTTCAGACATATTTTCTCCCATGAACGCTCAGAATATAAAGTGAACTCTCTATTGAGGTTTTTCCCAAATACTACAGCTAGGGGTTATTAAAAAATGGATAAAGAAATCAAGGTTGGTAACACGCGCGTAATGCCCTTGGTATTACATGAGTTCATAGATTACGGTTACCACTTAGTTGACCCGTAAACTTGTTTGTCACCTCAGTAGTATAAAAAAATTCAATTTCTTTTATATATAAACACATTTATTATCGATATGGGTTTTGTATTTATTTAAAATAATCTTGAATACATAAATGCACCCAAATTTTGAATCGATAACCAGGATTTTTTTGAATAAACGATTTTGGAACGTTATCGAATAGAAGGAAAAAATAAAATATGATACCTGTTGCATTGCATTTTGTTGGCAACTAAGTTAAAATTTAAAACTGACAGATTGCGTAATTTTTTTCTGCACTATAATTAATAGCCCAGCGAAGTCCAATAGCTGTCCCGGAGAAAGGGACAATCATACGCGTGGGCAATAAAATATTTGTGGTATAACGCTTTAACAATATATATTATATACATTATAGATATGTAAGTTGTATAATGGGTTTATATTTTTTAATTTTTAAGTAGGTATAATTTTCAATAGATGCACGCTTAAACTTTAGCTTTTAGATAATGTTTGACATGTCAATTATTTGTCATTAACCAATTTCACATTACTATATATATTAGACACAGTTTATGTAGAAAGTATGCAAGCAGTTATATCTGAATTTGGTAGGATTGTACGGCCGTATACAGTATCCTGCTATGAATTGAGAAAAAAAACTACTGATGGTGTATCTTTCATCTTCTTTTTACTAATTATATTTGCGTAAGAAAAAAGGAGGCAACCATATAATTAACAGTTTTTATTTTATCATTCCTTTTTATATCCTTCTTCGTAGTGCTTAACTGTCAAATCCTTTCCGAAATGTCATATCGTGATTCTTGAAAGCTGTCATCTTATCGACTAGATATTTAGGGTTGAAATGGGTTTTAATTTTATTCCAATTTTTCTTTCTCATATTTTCTTTAGGATATTTTTTTAATGCAATAAAAATTTTCTGTGTCATAGCTTTTTGCTGTGCTTTTTATCTATGTATATGGTCCCTTTGTTCTAAATAGCCGCCAACCGATTAAAAACAATAAATGTCTATAGAGTCTGTTTTCGCTTGTACAATACATTTGTCATACAAAATGGCAGGAAAGATGAAAGGTTTGCAGAAAATAAGTGAAAAGAAAATGTGATTTCTTTTGCTAACAGTGTAGTGTGGATGGAATGTGAATTAGACGCGGAAATGTGGACATAGCATATAAAATGGGTTCTCAGACTTTAGAGATATTACGCCAAGGTGTTTGGGCTTCGTTGACAGGAGGATGGTTTTATGATCCCCATCAGAATTTGTTTTGCAACACAGTCCACTTGTATGTGTGGCTATTCCTGCTATGTCTACCGTTCTCGGTATACTTGGTGAGTATTATTTTGATTAATAATATTTTTACAAGCTTATTAAATTTCAGCAGGTTATAGTGTGTTGTCATGTAAAATCAGGTCAAATTGTTTTACATCATTGTTATGGTTAACTGTGTGCAACAAAGATCAGTGCCCTAATTTCTTTTAAGTAATTTCTCTAAAAAATAAATTTTTTTTTTTTTTTTATAAAAACAATTTAAACTGATAAATAGATGCCTGATCAAGATCAGACCAGATTTATGTTATATACTATGAAACTTTTATGTTATAACATCTAGTTTATATAAAAACATTCACAACTTATAAGCTTTTTTATTAAGGCAAATTTTTTATCCTAATGTGTTAACATGAATACAATTTAAAAATACATTAAAAAAGCATACCTAGAATTATAACAACAATATTACTTATGTTTATATTGTTAGTATCTCATTCAATTAGTTCAGAGTTTATAGTTTATAATTAGAACACAGTCTGTGTTTATATTTATAAACAATATATTTTTTTAAATACTAAAGATGACTCCCATAAACTGTATAAATGTGTACCAAAAAGTATGTTTAAATAAACAGTTTATTGATCTTTATTTTATTTTATTTTTTTTATTTTTATTATATTTTATATAGTACATAAAATATGTTGATCCTCAATTTTTGGAAGATAGTAATAAAAAATAGTCATTAGTCATTTATTCATAAAACAATGTATATGTGTATGAAATTAAGTATGTTCATACAAAAAAGCATTAAATTGAATATTACAAGTATTGAATTAAAATAATAAATATATTTTACAATAAAAAATGTCAACATCATCCATAATATATATGACAAATTTATTTTTAATTCTAGTATTTAATCACCAGTATAAAAGTCATTAACAGAGTAACAGCATTTTTTCAATAAAAGTGATTGTAGTTTAAATTTAAAAGAATTGAGATTATGTACAATTTTTAATTCAACAGGTAATTTATTAAAAAGCACTACTTCCTAATGACATATACTGTGTTTAACAATGTTCAGACAAGGTATAGAGTTAGTACTAACATCCTCCCTCCTAGAAGTCTTTATTTTTTCTATCTTGTTCTGTTTCACTTTTAAGAAGAGTCTTTACAAAATCAGTAAGGACTACTAGTATATAGAGACTTGGAACCGTTAAAATTGTGAGCATTTTAAAATATTCTTTATAAGAATCTCTTTGTGAAATATGTATATTAGTTCTTATAGCCCTTTCTTGTAGGATAAATCCTCTGCTGACTAATAATAATGACAAAAAATTTATATATAATTATATTATTGAATGTTTTTTATTTAAATTGAAATTATCTGTACTGGAAAATAATAACTGTAATACATAAGTATCAACAGCATCATAGACAGCAAGGATTACTCTGTGGTATCTATGCTTCCTCTTATGCATTGATATTCCTAAGTAATATAAGGCTCAATATATCAATAGGCACCCCTACCCTTTAAACTAAAACACAATCATGCAAACATAACTGTTTAGCAGCAGTACCAAAAACAAGAATGGTATAGAGGTACCTACACAAATGAGTTTTATAAGTTCTCTCTCCAAGTACAAATACTATAACAATATGTGTGCAATAAATTATTGAACTAAATAGACCACCTCTAAGGCATCCATAATCAAATTATCACCCCCTTTCACAGTACTTCCCACCGGCAAGTTCGGGTTGGATTGTGTACTGTGTTCTTGTAGCATTGCTCTTCACAATACTCAAGATACTGAACCACAGTCTTCATCACATGTATGATACAAGTGAGTGTATTATCATACAACCCACTGGAGAAGCGGGAGCCTCTAACAATAATACTGTGTGAGTACTCCTTTTTTAATTATATTTTTTTAAGTATTTTTTATTAATTAAAAGTAAAAACTTAAACAGTATTTTTTTATTTGTTTTATACAATCTTGACATCTTTACAATTTCATGAATACAGTATTTTCTTTCTGATAATTTTGAGTCCAGCTTGCATATCAGTAAAAGTTATATTGGTGAATTTAAATTTTATAGACCCGAAGAAGGCATGGAGATGCAAATGCTCCGACTGGGCGGAGTAGTGGTGCAAGGTAGTGACAACGAGTCTATAACATCTTTAGAATACCACAAACCTAATAACAGTACCATTGGTAAGTGATACTTAATTATTAATATTGTTAAGTACTCCATAATCACACTATGTGTTTTATATTAAGATAACTAACTATGTTATGAAAACCAGAGGATAAGTATTTGGGACATAACAGAAAATAAATATGTATTTCCATGTACTCATATTTAGAAAAGTATTAAGTTAGTCCAATATAGAATCATATCTGAGAACTCATTTATTCAAAGCAATATATTTACTGTCTATAATAGAGAAAAATCTTGACTGACTGACTTATCAATGCGCAGCTGGAACTACTAAAGTTAGAATTACCAAATTTTGACAGTGGATCGCTTTCATAACCTACATAAGTAATAAAGGATTTTTCTCAATTTTGTCCTTAAGGCTATAAAAATAGGAGTGAAATTTGTATGAAAAAGTATAATTATTTTCATAAAAATAATAATATATAGTTTCAGTTTTTCTCTAAATTCATTCCTTATTGTATTAAGTACTAGCGGCCCATCCCAGCTTCGCACGGGTGGACATTTTTACAATATTTTACATTTTTATCTGATCCTACCTAGCTACCTATTTCATAAATGGGCCGGCCCCCACCTGCCCCTCTCCCGCACCGCTAAAGTAGGTATGAATAACTTGTACAACTCGACAGAGTTATTTTTTCTATGTCTTATTAAATTCATAATATCTATTGAATAGAATAGCCGATTTCAACAATTCAAAAAGTAATCAATCAATATATAAATTGAAATAGTTTTGAAAACAATATGATTTAATTGGATAAGGATTTAAACAGAAGTATGAATACCATGGTGTTATTTTGGTCGGTACTACTATCAACTTTTAAAATGTAAAAAGTGGTTATTGTGACATAACGATAATATTTGGACATATAGTAGCACGGATTTTTTTGTAGTTATTAATATTTTCTTCAATATTGTAGAACATACTTTTGTTCTATCACCAATAGTTTTCGCAGTGTACGCGATGTAAATAAAATATTTTATAGCATTTTTTTACACTTTGAGTTACGTTCGATCTTTTTTAGCAATAAATATAGCCTATGTTACTCAGGGTGAATGTAGCTTTCTAATGGTAAAAGAATTTTTGAAATCGGCAAAGTAGTTTTTGAGTTTATTATATTCATTACAAACATACACACAAAAATACAAATCTTTATAATATTAGTATTGGATAGGTGATGTTGCTTTTCAATCCACATTTCTTTGATTAAAATGTTAAATTTCACCAATAGAACTGTCTCTTCGTAGTATGCTAAAGGATTTTGATTTCAACTTATACATAAAAAATAAAAAGACAACACTGCAATAGCTAAAATAGGGTTTTTAGATATTTAAAGTTATATAAATAAGGGGGTTAAATGCTATATTCTATCTCCTTGTTCATTCTTTGAGTACTACTATTCTAAATGAGAAAGTCTATGAATATATTTATTTGTTACACAGTCATGTTTAAATAACTAAAAAGATTTGAATGAAATTTGGCACACAGGTAGGTTATATCCTAACTTATAATATACTTACACTTATAATAATTTATACATTGATGCATGTGGACGAAGTCGCAGAGAACATCTAGTTTTTATAAGGTGTTGGGTTCACTGTTGATTGACTGATTAGTACTACTATATTACTTTATATATGTTTATCATAATTATGCTATATATTATGTTTCGTTTTATAAAATGACATATATACCATAATGGTATAATTAATACCATTATGGTAGATCGTGGTATAAGACTAGTCATAAGTAATTATACAACCTTAATATATATAATATAACCTTATACTGAGGTATTTATAATAATTCTAATTTTAATTACATAATAAAATACAGTTTTTTTTTATTAATATATTTACTGTATAATGATTGTCTAACAATGACGTGGCAAATTATATCTCGACTTCATTAATATACAAGGTCTTGATGAATATCAGAAGTTGTACAGTCATTGAAAAAGGAATGCTATTGTTTAAATAGCATTCCTGAAATTAAACAACATTATTATCATCTTTACTTTTCTTTCACACTTGTATATATATTGCATAATTTTTTTCAGTTCACTTTGAATAAATGAAGAGTTTTTTATACACTTTTTTGTACCTTGTATTCTAAATAATAACATCACTACCTAATAATTGTAATAGCTGAATAATACAAAAATATTGTCTTTGTTACAGATCTAAAAGTAGATGTACATCGAAAAAATAGTTCAGAATCTAGTATAGAGGATAGTGCTATGTCTACTAAACAATCAGAAACAGTGGCCACAACAAAATCGGACCTGTGTGTAGCTACAGAAATGCCTACATTTGTAGATATGCCTGCAGGCCCAGCCAAAACCCGTCCACCTAATAGAACAAGATCCAAATCGGGTCACAAACGTGACCACCGAACTTCTAAAACTAGAAGAACGCATGGTAGCAGAATCAACGAATTAATCGTTGAAGAAGCTTCCAGAAACATAAGAGTAGATAGTAATTTACCTGTACACATGTTAGTAGATGAAGGACCCTTTGCTAAAGTAAGCAGGGGCTATCATGAATATCCTCATAGACGGGGATCAAGCAATAGAGCGTCTTGTAAAGAGTGGTTATATTTGGACGGTAATGATGCGATAGGAGAACATTACCAGTCAAAGTTCGCTAGTCCGCTAGCTTTCGAATCGAGGGATAATTCGGAGCCAAGTGTGGGCCCACCATCGCCTAAGAAACGACCAGCGCATAGAAGGCGATATACTAATTATCCTGATGAAAGCTGTACTAAATCTGCTATGGCATTAGCTACGGCACAATCATCCAATATGAGAAGGAATTCTAATTCCACTATGTCAACCATACAGTTACCTCTTTTGAATTCTACTGCGCAACTTGTTTCACATATGAGAAGGCATTCAAATAATACTGATACAGGTTTCTTTGCTAGTGTTGAATTAGGAGAATACATGATGGTGAAAGCTGAAGCTCCTAGTGGCGACGCAGACAAAAATAAAGGTAAAAGTCCCGGAGTGAGGCGAATAAAAAGTGCTGCTCTAGAAATAGGATGCCCACCGCCTAGTGTATCAAACTTATCTCCACATCCAAATAGTGCAGAAACTATTGGTGGACAAATGTTAAAAAATCCAAAAAGTGCCGTGATACCACCTCCTAGTAAAAGTTTGACTCGTGGCCCCCATTTGAATCTGTATCCCAAAAACGAATCTGGTGAAGGGTGTAGTTATCCTTATCTGACTTATGGTTCAGAAATAGTGTATCCTATAGCTGAAATATCAGATGAAATGCAAACTTCACAAAAAGAGACTGATTTGGACTCCAGTGGTGAAAGTTATAGTGATTATGAAGATGAGAAACAATTTCGAGGATTTGATTGGGATGCAGAACAATCGCCAGCCAATCGTTCTAGTGATTCTGATTACGAAAACAATGGTTCTAGATCACCACTACTAGATCGAACTGCAGAAATCAGAATAGTCCGTACGAAAGTTCAAAGTGATTGTAAAAAATATTGTTGTGAAAGACACTCAGGACCTAAACATCAATCTGATTGTCCAAATGACAAATCTAAATCAGTAAGACTGAAGAAATTAGCTAAAAACGAATCACAATATGGAAATAAACGTTCAGAACAGCAAACCAGTTCTTGTGAATGTAAATTTAATCCAAACGGTGATTATTTCGATAAAGCCAGTGCAAGTTCCAAAGACTTACTAATAGAGAAATCTAGTTTAGAATCTAACGAAAATCCTGAGCAACCGGATAAACAAATCAATGATAAAAAACTTGTAGAAAAGAAACTTTGGGACCACGATATATCTAATTCTAGCAGTAGTAGTGATACCAATCTAGAGAAACCGTCAGAAGACAATAACAACATTAAATATAATGCTGCAGAGACGGAAGAATCGCAGTTAACATGCGATAGCAAAAGCGCAGACGAAAAAAGTATATATAGTTTAGACTGGCTATTTGAGGAATCACCACAACCTAAATTAACTAGTTGTAAAGATACGTCTGCTTCATCTTCGTTAGTTCCTGAAGACATAGTTAGTCAAAAAATATCCAATGCCTTAGGTGAATCATCTTCCAACATTCCAAAAAACTTGGGAGCTATACCAAAGCAGATAAAAAACTTAGCGCGTTCACGAGCTTCATCTCAGAAGGAGAACAAGAAGAAAGATTCTAAAAAAGAAAAGGATGAAAATCAAACTGATGATCGCATGTATATGGATGCTCAGGCTGCTTTGGTACAAGGTTTGGAATGTTTATTTGCTGCAACGAACGCTAATACTGTTGTAATGCCACCTCCAAATAGAGAAGAAAGGCCACGGAGTCACAGACAGAGCATAAGAGGTGAAAGGGAAAACTCTCACAAAACAAGAAAGCGCTCTATTGAAGAAGTGGCACAAACATCTACAAACACCTTACTTCCAACATCAATGCCGTTATTGGCGGCATTTATTAGTTCACGAATGGATATGATGCCGTGTTCTGCCCCTGACAATCCTCCTTCCGAAACAACACAGCAACCTGAAGAGACACAGAGACAAAGACCTTTGATGGATAGGAATCATAGGAATCGAGTTCGTAAAATTAAACGATCAACTCGTCAACGAAATAATCCGTCACAAAACAATTCAGATAAAAAAGATAAACCTGCAATCGCAGATAACTCAAGTAGTACTAACAATGTCCATTTTGCAACATCATTTGACGACACAAGTGATGGAGCTATTCATTGTTTTATGGATGAATACGGTAATTGGATGTCATACACTTTTGATAAGAACAGTTCTGGCAGAGCACAGGCTCATCCAATTCCATTGCCAGAAAAAGAAGATAATGTAAGATTAAAACATGTTAAATCAGTTGAGAATCCTGACAATTCTCAAGAAACCGCTGGTGAAGGTAGCTGTGGATCTCTTGAATCTGAAGCAGGAAATAGTGAAAGTGTATCGAAAACGAAACGCGGTGACAGCATAGATCAAAGTTCATCTAACCAAGGTAGCAATAATCCATTATTGTCAAGTAATAATAATGTGTCTACAGTTGTTCCTATAAATACTAACAACGCTAATAAACGTTTCTATGTGTTTGATGGAGGAACTGGTACACATACAGACCAACCGAGATCACCAGTTGCATATGTCACAGACAGCTTATTAGAACAAATTGAAGCAGAAAGACAGTCGCGTATGGGTCTCCCAAGTATGCATATAAATTTTTTGATGAGCCAACAAAGAGCACAGCAACAAGCCCAACAACAGGCTGAAAGTGTATCAAATAATATATCAAGCCTAATGCCTTCTATAGGAGAAGAGAGCGTGGAGATAAACATAAGAAGTAAATTCTCGAAACTTATGGATGAAATAGAAAAAGCGAATCAACCAAAACCAAAGAGCTATTACAAATTCAAACTTTTAAAGTGTTTTGAAATAAAAGTTACCATGGATAGGCTAAAATTGATGGCATTATTTGACCGGAATTTAACATTCAAAGAAACATTTATAACAATATTTTTAGCGATTTCTGTTGCTGTGCTCGGTTCACTTGTTTTAAATGTAGGTTTCTACAGGGACATCTATGCATTTTGGTTCTGTTTTATAATGGCAGGCAGTCAATATTCCCTTCTTAAAAGTGTTCAACCAGATTCGGCGTCACCAGTACATGGTTTTAATAAAATGGTTGTGTTTTCCAGACCAGTCTATTTCTGTTTATGTACTGCTATTTTATATGCAGTTCATAGTTACCTCGAACAAAGTCCTGTAGTAAGCAATACAGATACAAGAGTAAAAAGAAGTTTGGACGAAATCAAGCCATTTACAATATATGGATTTGAAATGAAAGAACGAGAATTTTTACTTATAGTCCAAGAAGGATTGTCCAAGTTTCTGTTATTTTTTCCATTGGCTTTTAGTTTAGGTCTTTTTCCACAAGTCAATACCTTTTTAATGTATCTGTTGGAACAAATAGACATGCATATTTTCGGTGGTAATGCCACCAGTAGTTTGAGTGCTGCTGTGTATTGTGTAGCTCGATCGTTAGCTGCTATCGGAGTGTTGTACGGATTCGCATATAGCGGTTTAGTTGAAGGCAAGAAATCTCAGCATCAAAAACACAACATATTATTTTCAATTTTTTGTGGCCTTCTTGTACCGATAGCATATCATTTGAGTCGAAGCGCCAGCGATTATACTCTTATATGGAACTTGATAAAAAAACATCTGTTGCCACCTGAACTATATGTGATCCATAATCCGGAATGTTCACCGGAAATTAATAAAGAAGAACCTAATACATTATCTGACGATAAGAAAAATAATTCTGAGAGTAATATATCAAAGCAAAATTCGATCGGAAGTTCTGCATCTAAAATAAATTTTAGTTCGGAAACGAACATTGCTCGAACACAAAAGCGATCTCAAACTTCTAGTGTTAGTTCCCTTAAAATGGATCCTCGAGCAGGTGATACCATGAACTCAACAACTTCCCTCAAAGCCGATCCTTCAACAGAGACGGAAGACAAGAGTCGTGATACAAATTTAAATAATTCAACTAGTAAACAAGAGCAAGCTACAGAAAATTCCGAGGAGGATATGGAAGATCCTTTACCAGGGAAATTACAGGCAACGGTGAACGCGCGTCTCAAGAATGATCTCATTGTGTGCACTTTTCTTGGGCTGTTCGTGTTCGGTCTACATTGTACCACAGTTTTTACGACTCTTCGACCACAGCTTAATACGGTAAGTTAGTTCATAAGTAGATTTTGTTATATGTTATTAATATACATTAAAATATAAAAATCTTATTCCAGTAATTATTGTATGTTTTAATATTTTAGATTGTCTTTATAGTTCTGCCTTCTATTTTAATCCTAAAGACTTTTACTATGGAATTTGATGATTGTGGAGATAGTGAAATAATTTTTATATGACTTTTCCACTATGTGGGGTGCTTTTGGCTAAATTATATTATTATCATTTGAATTAAACTCCGTGTAATTTTTATCAGTTGTGACCGTTCAGGCACACAGTCAAACCCGTTCTCGCGTCACAGACGCTCATGACTAAGGGTCACGAATTGATTCCGAAACTAGTCGAGCTTTTTCGATCTAATTACACGTAAATTAAATCGGTAGTTATTACATTAAAATATTACGAAACTTTTTACAATATGATACTGATTAATCGCTAATAAACATATTTTATTGCCTACTTCTACAGAAATTTTATATTTTGTAATTATTTATTTTATGGTACATTATATCTATACTTGATAAATGCAATAATCAATTTAGTTGATTAAATTCCTAGTTGAACAATTCAAATAGATAGTCCGATGTATGAATTTTATATACACTGTCTTCAGTATATTTTTTTACATTTTAAGGAAAATAAATAAATTGTACTGTTACTATTGATCTAATTATTAAGTTATGTAAGACTAGGGTCAAATAATCTGATATTGCAGTATGTAAAGTAATAATGTATTGATACTGCAGGTCCTATGGATAATCGCGGGTATACTAGGATGGGTGCTCCATTACCTGATACCCCAACTCCGTAAGCAACAGCCCTGGCTCTGCCTCGCGGGGCCAGTATTACGACAACACGAACACGCACAATTTGAAGTCACTGAACCCGCACGTCTCATGTGCTTTGAAAAGGTAAGGGATAAAAGATCCCCAATGCACTGTCTTTTATTATTCTACGAACAGGGTGTCTTCTATGATTAGTAAATGAATATATATATAGACGTAAAAAAATCACGAAAGAATTAAAAACAATTTTGAGTCCCTTATATTAATTTAACAAGTACAAAATTTTTAGACTTTCATGGATCAACGTTTCTTTAAGAAAAGTATTCAGTTTTTAGGTAAAAATCTCTTTTAATACGTTGTTAAAGATTTCAATTTCATCATGTAGATGGTGATTAATGAATAATACTCGTAATAATTTCTTTAATGCAAGCAATATTAATATAATGTATATTAATATTGTTAAACCAATATATATAGAATATCCTTACTGGTACAATAAATGTGCAAGTAAGTGATTGTTTGTTTATTACCTAATAGCGTCTTAATTACTTAAGTAGTCACTATGAAAATCGTTATGCTGGTACTATACCGGATGCACGAGGATATAGACTTATTTTTATCCCGTTCAGTAAACATAGCTACTATATACCGGTAATAAAGCTTTCCATTATGCTGCTGAATGAGTGTACGGTCGTTGCAGATATTCGTGTACCTGTGCTTCCTGGAGCGCAACGTGCTGTACCCGGCGGTGGTGGTGGCGGCCACCACGCAGGCGGCGCCGCCCGTGGCCGCCAAGTACGGCGACGCGCTCGGCGCGCTGCTACTCTGCGTCTGCGCACTCAAATGTAACCGTCGCTTTATGTATTTTATATTTAAAATCTAATATTTCATTTATGTATACTGAACTAATCCATATGAATATATGTAAAAGTGTGTTTGTTTTGTTGCCTTATAGCGCCTTAACGGTTTAACCAATCACTATTGAATTTGATATACACGCACTATATGGGACTTTGAAGGATATAGCCTGCTTTTTATCCCGATCACACGAACGAAGTCGTGGCTAAAAGCGGCTTTCATACAAACCTTGTCGTGACAATACAAATACTACAAAAAAAGAAATAGCCAAATAGGTGCAGTAGTTCGGAAATGATACGCATACATACGTTCAACAATTGATTTTTATTTATATAGGTAGATTAAACAATATTTAAAATGCTTTGAAATTTTGTTTTTAGGTCTCAGGAACGCGTATTCAGAACCAGATACTCAGTACTTGATCCTGGTGTTTGCAATTTTACTTTTTCAACGGGATTTAAGTAGTCGCAACATGTCGGAAACATTCCTTGTCGACTACTTCGTAACTGCCATCATCTTTAACAAAGTTTATGAGTTTTTGCTTAAGGTGAGCATGTGTAAGATATTTATTTATCTACCTCAATATCCTTATTGTTGTTTTATGACTACTAAGATAAATAAATTAGAGTACACTTTATAAATATAATAATAGATTTAAAATGTATTGGCATTTTCTATAAATTTAATATAGAGAAAGAAATCCTATAACAAACATAGAATTTTTTTCATTGTAATTTGTATTATATAAATGTAGATCCTTTAAAATTGTAAATATTTTAAGATTTTTTTTACTTAACCATACTTATTTGATATAACTAAAATTTGGTACACTGACTGACTATATTAATTTATTGTGTGTTTAATATAAAGCTAATATTGCTTTTTTCAGATCCAATTCGTAGTGACTTACATCGCACCGTGGCAGATCACGTGGGGCAGCGCGTTCCATGCGTTTGCGCAACCGTTCTCCGTGCCACACTCTGCCATGCTGTTCCTGCAGGCCGCGCTCTCTGCATTGCTTTCCTCCCCCCTCACACCTGCACTAGGTACCTACATGTTTATATATTCGCGTGAACTTTCATCGCACTAATACAAAACATAACTAATGACGACTTGCAGATCATGTCAATAATGACATTGATTTCCTCTATGTGCATAGGTTCAATTGATTAATAGTCTTGTTAAAAAATAAGTTTTATAATAAAAAGCAAGCCATTACATGACTGAATTCGATATTTATAATTAACTCTATTATGTGATATAATTGTGTTCTTTTATCAAAATATACAAGTTATATTTTAATTTACGAAAATAAATAGTCGACTTGACATTCCTTTTTTTTTAATAAAAAATACATATTTTCAAATTTGGCCATTCAACATTACTTGGAAAATGCATCCGAAATATAACAACACATTAACTAAATCTGTTACCGTCCAACAGGTAGCGCGATATTCATGACATCGTACGTGCGGCCGGTCAAGTTTTGGGAGCGGGACTACAATACGAAACGAGTGGACCAGAGCAACACGAGGCTGTCGTCGCAGCTCGAACGCAACCTCGGCGCCGGTATTGTAAACTAATATTATAATTAAATATTTCGGAAGAATTTTATATTAACCCGTCTTGTGTTAATATAAAATTCTTTAACTTCTTGGTCCTTCAAGCCGGATTAAGGAACTCTTCTAATAATTTCTATTTCAATAAGTTTTCTCCAAACTTCATAATCGATCTTTGTATTCTTCATTAATTATTTTCATTATTTTTTAACTTAAAGAATTAAAAATGTCATAGAATACTCTATAGGTATTTAATGATATTCCCAGCATCCTACAGATTGTCTTGCTTATTAGATTAGTGATAAAACTGTCAAACCCATCAATCAATTAATCAAATTACGTAATGAATCAAAACCTGTCTACAGGTGTTCTCACTTGTAAAGATATATAATAATTATTATTACTACTATTTATTACAGATGACAACAACCTGAACTCGATATTCTATGAACATTTAACACGTTCGTTACAACATTATCTGTGTGGGGATCTGATGCTCGGCCGTTGGGGTCAAGTTCAACAAGGCGATTGTTTCGGTATGCCTAATTTATATTATTTATAGTTTTTATGCTGGCTATATTTCGGTTTGAAAGTGTGAATATGGCAATGAATTACCCTGTAGGTACAGAGAAATAACACCTGAGTCTTCAAGAATGGCAACGCATAGAAAGTATCAAGGGCAAAACAGTATATTCTGTTATGTCTATGACACTGCTCATGTCTATAGGCGACGGTTACCACTTTCTATCAAATGGGCTGTCAGCTTGTTCGCCATTCTAAGTTGTATAAAAAAATAGCATTGAAACTGTAATTGTGTATACTGCGCTGTTAGCTTAGATAGAATGCAATGTGTTTACTCTTTTCAATCTCAGAATGTCAGAATGTAAGAAGCCACTGGGGTACTAAGTAAAATCTTTGAAAACAATAACTCCAAAGTAAGACAATATATTAGATACATATTTGGACAAAACCATTTAACCGACATTTAAAGGAGGTTCTCAATTTGTCTATATTTATTCCTGGTTGTTTTATACGGTTGAATGGCAAATTTTAAACCGATTTTGATAGTTATTTTACTATCGGTAAGAGTTACTACTATGTTAACTCCATTTTAATTGTGTGATGATTGAAACTGCGGTTTTTGTTGTTCAGAAAAAATTGCATACTATTTACTTGGAGAGGTCAGAACAATTTTAATAGGTGTCAATAACTCTAATTAAACATGTAAAAGTAAATTGGACTCTGTTTCCATTTTAAGTCTCTTATACATGTAGTAATTATATAATAACAAAAGTACAAATTTATATGACAGATATTCCGTCGATCGAGTAAAAAAAAAACAATAATTAATCTTAATTTGTCCTTTTCAGTTTTAGCATCAGATTACCTGAACTGCCTAGTGCATATAGTGGAGATGGGCAACGGGCTAGTGTCGTTCCAACTTCGTGGTCTCGAGTTTAGAGGCACATACTGTCAGCAACGCGAGGTAGAAGCCATATCTGAAGGTCCAGAAGAAAGTAGCGGTGAGTCCCATTCGATTTTTTTATTTATACATTTGAGTTTATTTGTTACCTTATAGTGCCTTAACCAATCATTTTGTATACATACACTATATGGAATGGAGAAGGATGTAGGCTATTTTTATTCTGGTCAGTAAACATATCCCAGTTACGCGGCCGAAGTTGCGGGTAAAAGCTAGTATATAAACCATATTTATATAGCCAAGTTGTACAGCTAGACAGCTTATCTTATTAGACAGTTTAAGATGCATAGCATGCATAGATCTAGATATAACTGTTGGATGTTTGATAAGACTTTTTTTGGTTTATGCCTTTGTCGTTAAAGAATACATCCAAAATAAAATCGTCAAAAAAATTGATTTAGTCAAGATTCACATTTTAATATTGATCATAAATGATTCCAGAATTTTTTTTCTAAGAATGTTCAGATTATGGAATGAGCTTTATACTAAGGTTTTCTCAAAATATGCATTGATCTTTTTAATATCCTTTTTAACAATTTTTTAAAAAGGACGTCAAAAACACTGGCAAAATGTGCAAAGTACTTTAGTATTGTAAGTGTTCATAAGTAATATTCCAAACATTTCGGGTGTTACACAATATTAAAAATTAAAATGTGATAAATATATTTCAACAATTATAGTCAGATATATGATTTGACACTATTACCACCACTATTAGCCTTACTTCGTCAAAGCTATTGGTTTTTAGAATAATTAGTCGAAGAACTAAACAAATACTTTTTTTCATTTTGGGTGTATCATTGACGCTACACTTTAGAATACGCTTTTGAAAACTGCTAAATTCGGGAATATCGGTGTATCAATTACCTACCAGAGTCGTCTAGTGTCTTTTTATGTGTGATTTTCAATTGAGTTAAAACATAAAAAAAAAAATTAATATAAAAAAAAATATATTCAGACATGAAGGATAGGAATGAGACTTTGTTAACGATTTTCATAAAATGATCCGTCATTAGAATGAACTGTAATCAACACTATAGTGTGTATCTGGTCTTATTTATCTTTTACTCTCACCATACAAAATCAACTGTCATTATATATGCATTATCATACATACATGCATATATATCTGTCACGTCTGTCTCTCATTAGAGTAGGCAGAAACAATGGAACGTCAAATGTATCGATTCAAAAAACCTCTGTCGCTACTTCCACATACATAATAATTATTGTAACAACTCGCCGGGATGAAATAAATGTAATAATGTGAGAGTGCGTGTGTGTGGGCAGAGGGCGTATGCGCGGGCGCATGGTGGTGCGGTGGATGCGGCGGCTGCGGCGGCTGCGCGGGCTGCGGCGGCTGCGGCGGCTGCGGCGCGTGCGGCGGCCGCGTGCTGGCGCCCGGCGCCGCCTGGGCGCTGCGCTGGCTGGCCTGGCAGCTGGCCAGCGCGCGCTACGTGCTCGAGGGCTACTCCGTCAGCGACAACAGCGCCGTCTCCATGCTGCAGGTCTTCGAGTTCAGGAAGGTGTTGCTCACCTACTATGTCAAGGTAACTGACCGCACTGCGCCATCTCGTGTATTGTTCACAGTTTGTAGTCATTAGAACATTAATTTGAGGTTTCATACCAAAACTCATCAGAAGTGTGGCAACATTGGAGTTACCCGTCAGTTTTCAGTAACAGTTAAACAATTTTCAATGTTTCTGATTAATTATTTAAAAGTTCTCTAACAGCGAACTAAAACGGTAATAGTAAAATTAATTGCGCATAAACATACCACTGAAAATTACCTATTCCATATTTCTCTTTGATAGTTCTCAAAATATATTTTTGCTAAATAAAAAACAAAACTTTTTAATAAAATAAAAACAACGAACAAGTAATAACCGTCACCTATAAAAATGAACGAAACCATGGGTATCACATAATACACTATATTGCTCATGATACCATTCATGTTTTTTTTTTAATAAATGAATGTGGAATGGTAACCTCGCCTGTGCTATCGGTATACACTGTCGGGCGGACAGGTCAGTTAGCCCATCGTGATGAATACACTTGGAATTTAGTATGATGGTCTCCAGCGGGGACCACGTAGAGGTCGACCTGGTTGGGTATATTGCTAGCAATGGGGCTCTCAGTGTCCATTATTAACAACCGCCCCCCCCCCCCCCCCCATTCATATATTACTATTCCCGAGGGTTATGGGGTTATACATTCATACCCTGTAATTTTATTGCCATATACCACTCTTAAAATCGAAACACAACTATGAAAATACAACTATTTTGAAGCAAAAACACTAATAAGCTAATTAAAATAACTGACTTGATTTTACATGAAATTTCACAACTTTTTATAGTGGAAGTACTGCATGTGAGACTTGGTATTTTTTACCTTTATGTTTTTGATAGGATCTCATTTGGTAGGTCACCTTTTTTCTCGGGATTTAAAGAACTTTGACTTCTGGTAATTCGTAAACTATAAGATATACTATTGCGTGCCATTATGATGTTACCAAGCGGATAAACAGTGACTACTATGCCCCAAGTAGCATTAGTGAAAAACTGAAACGACGAATTCTTTTTTTTTTATCTAATTGGCGTTATTATGCCAGTTTTTTTTTTGTTTGAACTCACTTTCCTACTCAATTTCCTCAAATTTACTGGATCTTCTACATCTTTAGTGGCAAGAGTATTTCTATATGTATTGTATTAGCTTCCATATCTTGGCCCATAGTGTCTTACCTGTGTTATAAATTGAAGATACAATAAATTGTGTCTTTTGTTATATAAATTCAATTGTTTAACCGCACAGTATGTATTACAATTTTTTTTTGTCAATTTAAGGAAGCAAATAATATGTTCTTATCAATATATCATTATGGATCATACAGTTGTGTAAATGTCATTCTTATATAAATACAAGACCTATTATCTAAAATAAATAGCCTCCCCTTTTATTATAAAATTGGTCTTTATTTTTACAAAATGTGACCTTTTTTGTAAAAATATATTGCATATAAGATCTTATAGCGATATTCATTCATTATCCAGTAAATAGACTTCTTACTGGATAATAAAATAATATTATTTATTGGCGAAAATAATAATTCTTGGTAAATAAAATAGAAAACACAATCTCTAACATTACAAAAAGTATCAATACACATTCTTCTTTAGTTATTTTTCCCATCAGAAGATGGCGAACACAGTTTTTTTAAAATTCTATATTAATGTTTTTTGACAACAGAAGACAAATATATATTTATAATTTATTCTTTTTAAGGAACTGTGAATGGCAAACATATATGAATTGTGAATTTTTCTAAAAAGGTCAACTACGTATGTAACATATATAATTTTTTTTAGGAAAGCTTGTAACTCTTACAGACCGCAAGAGCCGTTTTCTATTATTTTTATTTCTCAGAGAAAATGTAATCGACTTTGAGTCACCATTTCCGTAAACCTATCTCTAAAATAATTATTTCAATTTGATATCATAGTAGAATTTTTATTTTAAGAACCAATATAAACAAAATTTTTAATAGATTTATTTTAAAATGGTAATAAATTTATTTAATGATGGTTGAAAAATAGGAAACACATAGTCATGGGAGATACTCTAAAACATTTCTAAAATGCTTCTTACGCCTGTGAAAATGTGCTTAAACTATTCTATGTTGAAATGTCAAAATTGTTCTAGTACCAGGTTTAGTGATTGACATAATAGCGTTCGATACATTTATCGATATTGACCTTCGAGTCAGATTGTTTCGATATTAAAATCTGTGTAAACTTATGTTTGTAATATTAAGAAAAAAAATACACATTTTGGAAATATAATAAATATTTTATAGTCATTACAATTGTGCGAGCGTTGGTGCCCAATTTATATCGATATCGGTTTATAACTTAATGCCAATGCTATTTAATCCCTTGGTTAAAGAATTGTGTTAAGTTCGATAACCGCCCCCCCCCCCCCTCATACAAAACGTTCAATATTATGCAATGAAATTATCTATCTTCTCTATTTAGATATCTATTCATAGAACAGTGGCCATGTGGAACAAAACCTGCTCTAGCTGGTTTTATGAAAAAATTAAAACATTAGATTTTAAAAAATAATTTAATTACCTTAACATACTGTACGGACGATGTAACTGGCACTGCTAGTATTAAAACCATAATTTATTTACACAGATGTTACAGTTTATTAATGAAAGGTGGCAAGTCACGTTTATTAATAATTTATGACATAAACTTAATATAAATATTTTAAAATAATAACGTTTTCTTTATTATTACATAAAGTTTATGTAATAGATAATAGCAATTAAATATTATTTGCTCTATCATATAAAATGTTTGTACATAATTATCTCATTCGATTACAACAAAAATTAGGGTTGTGTAAAATGAAAATAGAAACTGGAAATTATCGTGCTGAGTCCCAGGTGTGTTTATTACGAAGTACTACTGGAATTGTGTAAATAAAGGAAACATTAAAAATAAAATTTTAAATGGTTATTATCTGTTAACAATTCAACTGAAAATAAATAATTGACTCGCTTTATTAGTGCTGTATAAACACCCTCTTGACTGGTTTGTATATAACTCACTCATATGAACATTGCTTTTTTCCACAGAGTATAATTTACTACACAATACAGTCAAACAAACTTGAAGAATGGCTGGCGTCCCCTGTCCTAGTCGAAGCTCTGAAACCAATGAACGAGAGATCCTTTGTAGACTTGGATCCCATATTCAACGTCAATCTGGATGAAGACTACGACTTCAGAGCATCTGGTATTACTAGGTATTGACAAATTTTCACAATTATTCAATTTTTATTATATATATATTTTTTAAATGTGTGTTCGATTTTTGAAGTTATTATTATATACATATAAAATGGTGATAGTCCTTTTATTAAATGTGGCGGGTAAAATATTGAAATTTCCTTCAAATAATGCTCTAGCATTAGCTAGACAATTTCTTTTTTTAATACATTAATCGTTTTTTTTTTTTACAAGAAAAGAAATAACATGATTGTATGTTTGAATACGACAATATTAGAAATTGCTGCACTTTTTTTTATTTGTTTCTACACACACTAACTTAATAAGTTCGTTTGGTTTTTCGCAAAAAAGGACGAACATTTGAAAATGTTTTCGAAAGTACTTAGGACTTATCTCGTTCTTCCAATATTATTCAGTAGTCAATTTTCCGGCCTGAACAATTTGACAGAATATTGTGACGTCACGTTGCTAGTAAATCCTCTTATAATGTTAATGGAATGTGTCTTGTGCTGGGATGCGCAGGAGCCGGTTCTGCGCCGTGTACCAGGAGTGGGTGGTGCACTGCGCGATGCGGCGCGGCGCGGGCTGGCGGCGGCGCGCCGGCAAGGAGCCCGCGCTGGTGACGCTGTGCTTCGCGCTCAGCCTGCTCGGCCGCCGCGCGCTCGCCGCCGCCCAGCACCTCTCCACCTCCAGGTACTGTACAAGGAGCCCGCGCTGGTGACGCTGTGCTTCGCGCTCAGCCTGCTCGGCCGCCGCGCGCTCGCCGCCGCCCAGCACCTCTCCACCTCCAGGTACTGTACAAGGAGCCCGCGCTGGTGACGCTGTGCTTCGCGCTCAGCCTGCTCGGCCGCCGCGCGCTCGCCGCCGCCCAGCACCTCTCCACCTCCAGGTACTGTACAAGGAGCCCGCGCTGGTGACGCTGTGCTTCGCGCTCAGCCTGCTCGGCCGCCGCGCGCCGCCCAGCACCTCTCCACCTCCAGGTACTGTACAAGGAGCCCGCGCTGGTGACGCTGTGCTTCGCGCTCAGCCTGCTCCCGCCGCGCGCTCGCCGCCGCCCAGCACCTCTCCACCTCCAGGTACTGTACAAGGAGCCCGCGCTGGTGACGCTGTGCTTCGCGCTCAGCCTGCTCGGCCGCCGCGCGCGCGCCGCCGCCCAGCACCTCTCCACCTCCAGGTACTGTACAAGGAGCCCGCGCTGGTGACGCTGTGCTTCGCGCTCAGCCTGCTCGGCCGCCGCGCGCTCGCCGCCGCCCAGCACCTCTCCACCTCCAGGTACTGTACAAGGAGCCCGCGCTGGTGACGCTGTGCTTCGCGCTCAGCCTGCTCGGCCGCCGCGCGGCCGCCGCCCAGCACCTCTCCACCTCCAGGTACTGTACAAGGAGCCCGCGCTGGTGACGCTGTGCTTCGCGCTCAGCCTGCTCGGCCGCCGCGCGCTCGCCGCCGCCCAGCACCTCTCCACCTCCAGGTACTGTACAAGGAGCCCGCGCTGGTGAGAGGAGATTACCTTCCAAGACCACTACTATGATAAGATAGTTTAACCTTTTTGATCAATATTTTACTATTGACCCTCTGACCGGGTATCCTGTGATTTCAACGTGCTCGCATTTTTTATGTTTATTTACCCCACGATTTTCATTTTGAAGATTGTTATTGTTTCTCAGAATCTCGCTAAATGGTTAAATACTCTTATTACTATTTGTTGTCAAAGCGATGTGTTTCATTGTTGTGAAAAGAAAACAGAAGGTTAAAGTTACTGTCAGTTCTTAAATTATCCTTATTATATTAAGTACAGCGAAATTACTCCCCCAACTAAATCTAAAATCTATGTTTTGCAGCGTGGAATTCTTTCTATACGGGCTACACTCGCTGTTCAAAGGCGACTTTCGCATCACGTGCGCTCGAGACGAATGGGTGTTCACGGACATGTCGCTGTTACACTCTGTATTGGCGCCTGCAATACGGATGGCGCTCAAACTACATCAGGTTTGTTAGCAATCGATAAATACAATCTTATAAAGTCAACTATTTGCGACAACGTGCTGTTGTATTTTATGCTCGTAAGAGGATGTAATTAAGACTTGATTGAATGGAACTTATGTAGTTGTTAATGGGATTATTTACCGGGCAGGACCACTTCATGTTCCCCGAGGAGTACTGCGACAGCGGAGCGCTGTATGAGGCGATCTCGTCGCACGCCGAGCGGCTGGTCATCTGCCACGAGGCGGCGCCCGCCTGGCGCTACAACGTGCTGCGCGGGGCGCCGCACCTGCTCGCGCTCAGGTATCTACTGCACTGCACTGTGCACACTATACTGTACTGTATTGTACTACACTCACTGTACTATACTGTACTGCACTGTACACACTGTACTGTAGTGCACTGTACACACAATACTGTACTGTACACACTGCACTGTACTGCATTGCACTGTACTACACTACGATCTCATCCGCTTGTAATTTGTTACGAGGTCCAGACACTATTATAAAACGGATAATTCTTTTATATCTTAAGTTATGCAAGTTCTTTTAAACAACAAAATAACAACATAGAAAATTGAAATATTCCTTTAATTTCAGACACGTTATGGACGAAGGAAACGACGACTACAAGATAATAATGTTAAATAAACGCCACCTGGGATTCCGTGTAATCAAATTGAACCGCGAGTGCGTCCGCGGCCTGTGGGCAGGTCAACAACAAGAACTCATCTATCTAAGGAATAGGAATCCGGAGCGTGGATCCATACAAAACGCTAAACAGGTTAATGTTCAAAATATATTGTGAATAATGTATGTTATAATAAATGTGTAATGGCAACCTTATATGTACTTTAGTTAACCAACCGCCCATCTCGTAAGGGGGCAATTAATTAATTGTACAAAAATTTCTTCTGAAAAAAAATTAAATTACAGTGAAACTCATGTCACAAGCTATTAGATTAAAAAGGAATAGATCAATAAAATTCGATTTATTCTCTGAGCCGCATTAAAAGTATTTGTAATTTAATTGAATATATACTTCAAGTAATATTTATACATACCATGGACGATAAAAATACGAATTTTTTTATCGAAAATACATATTAAGTAAACACATACATATGTGTTTACTTAATATGTATGTATGTATGTGCTTTTTAGTGATAGTGTTAAAATTTCTCGAATTATGTCACATACCTAGTTTGCATAGTTATACATAATATACATTACAGTGCAGTTGTGCAAATAGACTCCTTAAAACATGACCAGTGTTCTGAAATGAAAATTGTAATAACAATGTTTGGATTCTGGCATTGTTTAACAGGCGTTGCGCAACATAATCAACTCGTCGTGCGACCAGCCGATCGGCTATCCGATCTACGTGTCGCCGCTGACGACATCGTACGCGGACACGTCGCCGCAGCTGACGGCGCTGCTAGGCCGCCCGCTCACCGCCGCCGTGCTGCGCCACCGCCTCGTGGCACTGTGGAGACGGTGCGCAATACTATTATTCTTTTATACTATATTTCCTTTGCATACACTCGATTTATTTAAGAAACTGTACGTTTTGTTAGTGTCGGACATTTGTTTAATAAAAAAAAAAAAAACTTTTTGCCACACACCAAAGTTATTTATTTAACGGGTCAATTTTTTGTTAGCTAATTGTCAAATTAGCTGACTCGTTTTTTTATTAGTATTCTATATATTTATACATATGATGTATATTGACATATTATTTGAAAAATAAAATAAGCGTTTACGTGTTAAAAAAATGCAGAAATTATGAGACAAAATAAATATAGATGTTATAAAGGAATCACTCAAAACTATTCATCACGCAAAATTGTATGAAAATGTTGAGCCGTTATTCTCGAAGCATTTCTATGGCAGCATATATATATAACACTAATTCACGAGTAGAATTCGACGGCGGTGCGGCGAAGGCTGCTCCAGCGGCGGCGGCGCCTGCGAGGTTGGCGCGGCCGAGGCGGGCGCTGCGGGCGGTGGCGGCGCGGGGGCGGGGGGAGGGGGAGGGGCAGGCGGCGGCGGGGCGGGGGGACGGGCCGCCACCACGCCGCGCCACAACGCGCTGCATCTCTCGCGGACATCGCTCGGTAAGTGGCTACATCATAAGGCTGGACATTCATTATAAGACGTCGATGCACGCAACTACACAGTGTAGAAATTTTCAGTATCTCACTCTATAGGACACATCCATAAGTCACCACTGATGGACGCAATTGAACAATGCCCAAATTTGTTCATCTGTCCTTAGTTGTTCTGTAATGAGCATACCGCTGACACAGTCCCCGTACGTATGAAGCTTCCAGCGTGTTTAATCGTTGTTCGATGTCTAATAATTCAAGAATGGTCCAAGGTTGTATGTTGTGTAAACTACCTCTTTAGATTCTTTACTGACGCCTCACGCTTTTAAAAACATGGCAAACTGTTGCCACCATTTCCGCCACGTTTCTGCTCGGACGGCAGGATTACTATCCACACGTAATTCCGAAAAAGAACGCGCGTGTTCCATTTTCCAGATATAACTATACGTCTACGGACACTGAACTTGACTTTCTTCACACCGGTTTTTAATTATAATACTGTAAACGTATTTATTTGATCCCACCGCTGCCACTATGTAGTGAAACACAACTTGCTAGCTCAATACTGTTTATTTTATATCGATGGTACTAATATAGAAACCTCATCTTATACTACCCACATAATTATACTACAAAGGTCACATTCTCAACTTAGGACCGCTAATTTGCACAGTTTCATATACATAAATTTAAATAAATATACCTTTTGACGCATAATGTAAAATTTTCCATCTTAAGTGTTCATTTAACGCCGTCTAGTTTCAACATCGTCGTCGTTAAACTTGGTTAAGAGCGTTCATACAATTCAGTACATCATAGTTGTAACGTCGGAATTATTGTTGGTAAACTGTTTAGATAATTAAAAATTAATTGTGCACTAACATTCTTAAAATTTTATCAGAAACACTGAACATATTTGAAAATTGCCTAATGTTTCTGATTACGGCACACTTTGATAAGCTTCAATAAGAACGCTCTTAACAATAAATTCGTATCAATAATTTTATTGGCCTTGTTCATAGCTGGAACACGTGGCAGTTTAGCGAGTGCGGGTAAACCCACGTCTTCAACACTAGCATCATCTCTAGCAGGATTGCTAAGAGAACACTCACACGAAAGGACGCAGGATGAAGCTGGTAAGAATTACGTTTTTTACTTACAATTATTTATATATATCTAAGTTGTAATAAACTGTATAATCACTAAACAATTTACCATGATGTTAGAAAAGTTTATTGGTCGTGATGCTCGCTTGCACAAGCCTCTTTCAAAGATTATATATCGATAATATTAATGCGGGAAAGAGTTGCCTTTTAAATATTTATATACATAAATTTCTTATAGATATTCCGAATTGACATTTTCATAGTATTATTGTACCTGTGTGTGGTATAAAATAAAAATATATAAACAACACCTGCCTTCATAGGCTCACTTGTATCATTATTTATAATCGAATGGATTTGTCATTGCATAAACATGTGTCATTATTACATAGATGATTCATCGATGTTTTAATATTAAACTATTGTTACAAAACTGTGTTAAGGCTAAATATTTCCATCTATTTGATTAATCTATGGGTAATGCTCTTTGATTTCGTTTAGCATACGGCAGTACTCAAGAGAATAGCTCCCCACGGAGACGTAGTGAAGAACGCAGCGGCGGCGGCAGCGGCGGCGGGGGCGGGGCGCGGCGGGAGCGGAACATGCGCGCGCGCACCGCCGGCAAGGAGGCCGGCCGACAGGTACGGACTCCAATATCTTGTCTTTTAATACGCCATTTTGGGTTGCCATATTTATCTAATAGACATGAGTGTTGCCATTATTTACTCATATAAAACTTGTTATAAATACTTTATATGTAAAAATATATCATGTATGAAGGTGGTAATATGTTATGTCCCTGTTAACTATATTTGCTATTTTTGAACAGATTTTGTTTTATTTTTTAATTGAAAGCTTCATGGTGTTGGTTTCATTTTATTTTCTATCAATTTTACACCAGCTGTTTCACAAGGTAGTTGAAAAAAAAACCGAATACTTAAGGTGTCTATTCTTATGTAAATCGTTTGGTTTATCCACTTTTGTAACAAGATAATTGATTTAATTGCATTAATGTAATTTTGAGGGAATATTCTATCAGTAAAATCAAACATTTTTCTCTAAGAAACACAAATCGAAAATCAACAAAATATTTAGACTGTCATCATATTAGCTGTTAACTCTCCACGGCTGAACATAGGCCTGTTCGTATTGAAAGGTTGGCCAGTAGTTGGACCGCTTGGCAGGCGAGTTGGTAATGTTCTAAGAGAGGTGCTGCTACCCATATATGCATTCCATTTAGAGTCGACACTAACAAAAAAATAATATAAAGTTTTAAAGTAATAGAATACTCTTTTAAAATGGATGCTAGAAATTTCGATTTCACTCGTTCCATCAGTAACGGTAGAAAGTTGCACATTTCGTTGTTCTGTACAGGCGAGCAGTCGCCGCGCAGAAAGGCGAGGGCGTGGCGCAGTGTCGGCGGGGTCAGGGCCGGCGGCGGGGGCCGGGGCAGGGCCAGGGCCGGGCCCGGGGCCGACGGCGGCATCGTCGCTACGGGCGCGGCCTGGCACCTGTTGCGGCGCGCGCCCCGCTGATCTACCGCAGGTCTGCCCCACACGCTCACCCCTCAATTTCTTTACGTATTACCGTGGTGATGTAGATTCACAATAAATCATGATGGTCTCGGGTTCGATATTTACACAGAACTATCATTTGTATGTCTGTGTGTATTAGTTTGGATGTTTTATATGTATAATATATGTATGTTATTTACAAAAATATATTTAAGAAAATTCCAATATCTAAAAGAAAATAGTTTAAAAATTAGCTGTTACTAACTTACCCTCTTTCTATGTTTTATTTTATACTCCTAAACTAATTAATATATTACAATAGTGAAACCTAAATTTGTGAAACTGACTCAGTCGTTATTTTCAGGGGTCTTTGGATAGCGGATGGGAAGCCTGGAGAGACCAACCGAGACGAGCTGTTAGTGCAAAGGTAACTATTCATTATTATTCTTTCGAGAAATCTCCATAATATGAGATAAAGAATGTAGTGCTTGAATATTCGTTTGATTCTTCATCAGATATACGCAAACACTGAATTTTAGGCTTGGAAAGGTTTTGTAACTTATTCTAATTATTAGACAAAGTTTAGTTACAGTATTAGGTTAAACAATATCATAGAAGGGATTAATTGGGAACATGTATGTATGTCATGTTCCCAAGTCCTCAGTCTGGGAGAGCCCTGTGTTCAGTGGATAGATAATGAGATCAGCTGAGATAATGATAATGATGTATGTATTTATGAATAAATAATTTAGAAAAGGGAAAGAGATTACCCTTTCAAGAAATATGCGAAGGGACATAAATATATGTGGCTATCAAAATTCGTGATAGCATCCTGAGGTGTTAGCATCTAAGGTAAAAAAAAAAACACTTTAGATTAATTAAATAAAAAAAAATCTTTCTAAAGTCCTTTTATTTTCAACTAACTTAAAAAATAAAGAGAAACTACGGTTGTATTTTTTTTTATGTTTGTTACCTCATAACTCCATCAGTTCTAAACTGTTTTTATCTGAATATATTTACAAATTGGTCCCATAGAGATTTTATCAAAATCGGCTTAGTAGTTTAGTTTTTAAATCAAAATAACAGGTTTTGTCACAATTAAAGTAGATTTTTTTTGTGGGACACAAAAATTTTCAATCGCGGATCTTGCAATGATATGTACGTAATGTGTCGCTAAGGCGTGCACACAACGCGCGGCGAGCGCCGACTCGTCGCTAGAGGACTTGACGCTGGAGCCGGGCGCGCTCGGACTTGATCTATCGCTGCCCGATTGCAAAATCATCGCCAACAGGAACGCCAGGCAAGAAAGAGACTTTAAAAGGTAGACCACCCCGCACGCAGCACGCTTCTACCGCTCGCTTACACAACCATCCCCAACCTGTAACTTGCATCATTCGCCGTACGATTTTACTATCTTCATTTGCAAGTTAATAAAATGCAGTCATAGATATGGTTACACATAGATGACGTTATCTATTTGGAAACATGACGGCACTTCTTGACACAATATTAAATAGCAAGGACTAAGTTCCTTATAAAAGTGGATATTATTAACCCGAAAAAAAAACTTCTACCCATTGCAAGAGAAGAATTGTTAGTAATGGGTCAGTAGGCCTCCATTGATAGCAATCCTATCAGGTCGACCTCTAGGCAGTCCCCATGGAAACCATCATAGGTAATACCCAATGAATTACGATGAGTCAACAGATTTGATTTCATCTTCACCTGTATTCACTCATTGTTACCCATCTACACATGCCAATAGCGAAGACAAAGTTAGTATTTTAATTTCATCCATTATGTGACTCTTCTCTCCTTAGCATACCTTTTAAAAATACCATCTTCAATGTGATTGGTACTCCAAATTTAATTTAGCTACAGTCCATGTATATAGCAATCTCTAATTTGCGATATTTTTAATTATATCCTTCGTGGTTAATATAACATAAAAGCATATAAACCAATAAAATCGTACGACGGATTTATGATTTCAACTGATTTGCTCTAACTGTATCTTGAAAGAAAAATATATTTAAATATTTAAAAACAAAGTATAAATGGATGATTTATTAATATTAAATGAATAGTTAAATGTGATATTATTACTTTTTATATTAGGCGGCATTATTTTTTGAAATCTTATATACACCATCTGCTTACGGTTTTGTTCCTAAATATAATCAATATGTTATTGATTTATTTTTTGTTTTATTTTCTCTTTATTACGTAAGAGTGTAAGGTAGGCAAAGAGAACCGAGTGCAGGTGCCTATCTCTTGCTTCATCTCTATTCATAATTAATTTCATGAATGCACTGTGCATTATGTAAACCAATTCCAAAGAATGTTAATTCTGATCAATGTAATCCAGAGTTCTTCTGGTACTTGTTCCTTTCTATTTTCGCATTGTATACCAATATTGTTTCACCAATCTTTAATTCGAATTACTTTTCACATACCCGAATGAATGCTGCATGCTTTTAAATATAATAATAATAATTCAATCTCTTGAATATTATTGGTATTTATCGTGTTACAAATACCATTTTTAAAAAAAGTGCTCGATATTACACCATAGAATTTGCTGTCATTCTTATCTATGTAATCCTTACATAGCATTGTCTTGATGATTAATTAAATGTGCATTTTATTCAAAGTGTACTTACATTATTATATTCACAAACCTCAAATTTGTCCTAATATAGAATAAATAGAAAACGAACCATTTCCAGGTATTTCTTAAACGAAATCACATCGAAGGACTTGTCGAAACTGAGCAAAGAGATTCGCCACGAGCGAGAGAGCTACCGCGACCTGACCGGTCGGTACACCGAGAAACCTGAAGCGATACCACTGAAGGAAACACACTACTCCGACTTGTCGAATAAAGAGTCGATCCTCAAGAAGGAATCTAAAAAAGATTCTAAAAGCAAAGAGATAAAAACCAAAATCAAACGGTCCGATTCGGGACGTAGTGAATTGAAAATAAATGTTAGTGTGGGCAGTAAAGTGTTGATAATCGAGCCTTTGGGGGTGTACGACTGTATTAATTTGGGAAGGAGGATCGATGTTCAGTGGCCGTCTGAGTATCAGCGGGAAAGGGGCGGCAGGAACTTCTGGGGCAGCTGGGTGCCACTCGCCGGAATGGACGGATTGGTATGTCTATGATATAGTTTTTATTGATTAACTACCATTGATATTACAATAATTTTACAAATTTGATGAACGAAATATTTACCATATATCTTTGTAAGCTCCCGGTATTTCGACGCTTCTACAAGTGTCCCGTTTTTTACTTTAGTATTCTCACCTCGGACACTTAACATGAAATCTGTGTATGGACAAATATGTGTATACACAGAAATATATGGACAAAAAAAACATGCACTGTACATATATGTATATTTATCGAGGACGGTGCATTTCTTTTTTAAATATTTATATTTAAGACCAGGGTAAGGTCAGGTTGAGAGAGAGAGAGAGAGAGAAGTGGATCTACTATACAAAGTAGTACTATTAGCCTGTGCTGATACGTATTACCCTAAATAAAGCATACTTGTTTCTTTAATTCTATTTGGTTACTACACTATACAATATTTTGGATTCTATAAAATAGAATTAAAATTTCTAGTTGCTTCAAAATTTAAAGTTAAAACTAATATTCTTCAAAACTTTCCTAAGGTTGTGCACAAGTGGACCCCAAACCACAGAGACCCGAAACTCCGGTCACACGTCGACAAAAGCATTCTCCTCATCCAAATAGACGATAAGTTCGTTCCCATCGCGGAGAACTGCGTTCAGGACTTAGGCGACGAAGTCTAAACTCGAAGGCGATCGGTTGTAATTCACTCGTCGAATTTATATCTTTAAGTTAATCTTTGAGTATTGGTATGAAATGATTCAAATTGAATTGAAATTTATCTTATTAGTTATAAGGTCTCATATATGTAAAATATTGTTGAACACACAAGCACATAACATTTTCATATTATGAAGAGAATAGATGTTTTTGTACAAATAGAAAATGGCAACGTCAACTTTATGAGATTGTGAATTTTTTTACATTTTGTTTTCAAGTTTGTATGGTAGACGTTCCTCTTACAAATTTTCCCGATGGTCTCTAATATGGTTTCGTCACAAATTATGTAACGTTATTAATTAGATATGACAATTCTATCTTATTGATATCGATCAATAAATAAACTCATCATAAATTTTAACCGACTACAAAAAGTATCCAATTTTTGGGTTAAATTTGACAGTATTTTTTTTTGTATTTATTTTATGCGATACCTTGGATAATCATAACTTTTTTGTATCAACCAATTGGTATTAAATACATGGTGTTAAAAACATGGTGTTAATTGCGAACCGATATTGACGATTATTTCTTATTAGAAAATTATCTTGAATCGAAATCGCAAAACGATTTATTAAAATACATATCATTCTGTCTCATGCTTTGTATTTCGTTTCACCCTCAATTATATTTGAGAGAGTGATCAAAATTAATACATTTTTATTTCATATCATCTTCCCACATTTGCTTCCTAGAAAATATACAAATACGGAACACTTTCAAAGTGTAAATGTAATTCCTTACCAAAATATTGTTAATATTTAGGTTGCATGATAAATATTCCATTTTGTACATATAAAATAAAAATGCTTTGTTGTGTGTGAGTAGATTTTATTAAACGTTAGCTTTACTCGTGTAAATATACTTTGTATATATTGTGAAAATATGTAAACATTTTGTATATTCATCTCTTAATGTAACAAAACGCGTATACTTTATTAGGTGACGTAAGCGAGTATTATGCCTTTTTTATTTTTGTTAATTTTTTATTTTCTAAATTTCGATATAGGTAAAAATTTCTCCCAAAAATATCGTAGTCTTTCTTTGAGACCAAATAAATCATTGATTTATATTTATATATAATGTATGGTTTGACCACGTGATCGTTGTATTGATTAATGAGTCATTTTATAATTTAATAAAATCCTTTTGACAATATTATTACTGATGAGCACACTACAATTTTTAATATTAACTACAGAGTATAAAAAATAAAAAAAAATAGTATAGATAAAATAAGGAAGATTTACAATGTTAATTCAACATTTGGTTATGGCAACGTAGTTGTCTATGCTAGTAAAATATGAATTAGTTATAACGTTAGAGTAAAAAAAAATTTCAAAGATATCGGTAATGTAGCAGCAGTATGTGCGGCTTTTTTTTTTTAATTAAAATTAAACAGTATAACGAACATGTGATCAAATTATTTATTTATTTAAAACTGTTATTTGTTATGTGTATATATAAATGTGATGCAGTTTTCTATCTATGCAATGTTTAAAGTCGAAAATTATGGAAATATATAGCACGTTGAGTTTTGTGAATTTACGGGGATAAATTATTGATGTTATTGATATTTGATTAATGAGTATTTAGGCAACATTTTATGTAGAAACACGCGTTAAGGTCGGCATCAGCGGTTAAACTAACTTAAGAAAATGATTATTTGTAAAATAAACAAGTACCTAATGGTAATTTGAAGAAATTAGCACAATAAAAGTATGGTTTGATTTCAATTTAATTATATTTATACATCATACAGTGAAGCGAGTAATATTTTTTACTTGTTTCTTAAGTTAGTTTAACTGATCGGTAATATGTTAGTACCACTATGTATGTATGTGTATTTATTTATACATAGACAAATGCTTCTGACTACCCCGTCGAAGATTACAGCTGGCAGCACTTTTTTTTACATAATAGAATAGAAACAATCTTTATTCAAATAGATTTATTTACAAGCTCTTAAATCGTCGATTTTTTATAATTGTACTGCTGGCTTTCGAATGTTGTCATTAAAAAGTTAATTTTTATAAATATTTGTTAAAATTTTGTGTATTATTTATTTAAATGTGTAAAATAACATGGTAATTTAAAAATCCATACATTTTTTTATTCATGTTTCTATGTATAAACTTTTTTGTTAGCACTCATAATAGATTGTCTGTCACTTTGAAAACATTATTTTTTCATACAGTATGTCCGAATGTACATGCACACACACAGTGGTACAATTTACCTTGTGATCCGACTTGTAAACGCTTGAAAATTATATACTGTCATTGTCGTATACTATTTGTTCTCCCCTATAATGTTGACATATTTATAATTACATACTATATAAATTGCATTGATTCACGTTTTACTCTATAGTAATTTAACTGTCATACACCATCTGTTAATAAGGTAATTTATGTGTCTGTTTGGCTAAACAAACCAATATTTTGTCCGCGACTTCGTCCTTCTGACCAGGATAAAAAGTAGCTTATCGAGAAGGCTCCATCGTGTATACTAATGTTAATGTCAAATTCATGACGATTACTTTCTTCCCCCCACCCCCCGGTCCCGACCCAAAACAAGTGTCAAACAATATCTACTAACAAACAATAGATTCCTTTCAGTTTGCGGTCTCATAAGAAAGAACAAATCAACGCATAAAGCCATCTCATTCTAACTCGAGGGCAGTATAGCGGTAGCTATTCCATCCCATGAGATAGATATATGTAACGAAAAATACACTATGTTTACTCGGCGCGGAGAAAATAAGGTCACTGACGTATATGCTTAGTATCAATATTTTCCATATAACTACGCCGTAATAAACATGTTTAAATATTTTCTTCGTTTACGTCGTACAGTTTAAAAAAAAATGTGGATTTGCCATTTTAATAATAGAATGATTCAAATAAAATAACATAAAAATGTTATTTTTTTTTTATTGCTTTTACAATAAACATTTATATAATTAACAATTCAGCGAATCCAATCAACGGTACAATTCGCAAATTTCTGGAAAAATGATCCTATTTTTTAAATATTTCTTAAAAATATACCATAATTTATATCAGTTCCCCTTTAACTTTTGTCTATATTTTGATCTGTATTTTATGCTACTGTATTTTATTAGAATTTTCTAATTGCCATTAAATTAATTGGTGCAATAAAGTGTTAAATAAATAATTATGCAATACAATTAACATCAAATCCCACTGATGGAGCTACACTTGATAAGCTACTTATAAACGATAGTAGTTTACGGGTTGTGAAAGTCCGTAGGTGTACGTCGATGTTGCTGGCCGTACTGTCTGTATTGACAGATGGTGTACTTACCGGTGACTATTGCACACGTTACGACACGACCGTGTCTTTAGTGCCCTCCGTTCGCATTTACCTCTGCTGTAATGCATCACCAACCATTTTGTATCATTCACTTCATCCAACCATCATTGGTTTCGAAATAGCATTATATTTTGATTTTTAATGTTTTAATATACGATCTAAACATTTGTTTAATTGATTGGTAAATGCGGATGGATCACATAAAATGAGTATGTATTCTCAAGTTGCCTTAATATATTTTAGACTGATTTTTTATAATCGTGAGCGTGTCTAAGCCGATATTACAATAATAAATAATTGTTAAGGTATATATTTGAGCTCTTGAATTAAATTATTTCAACTATAAAAACATCGCAGTGTACTTACACTCCATTTAAGGCGGTTTTTCACATAACATTTTGTGTCATTAGATTGTTAATGTGCATTTCTTATAGATAGGGAGCCGTTTTATTGTCACAAATAATATACCAGTAATCATTGCAAATTCATAATTATGTTGTATATCCAGATATTTGGTCTCTTTGAGCAAAACGATCTATCCGAACATTACGGAGTAATAAACGTAGAATGTAAACTGTAGGAAGGCACAATCCGTCCACAAAAATGTGCGTAACATACAAACTACATTGATTACACTTGAATAATAATACTTGTTTTGTCTCTCCTAATCACAAAATTTACTGATTTTTATTATATGCAGGTACAGCATAATTTTGAAAGCGTTTGTGTATAATGTCAGGTTCATAAAGTTCGAGTGAAAACCGCCGTTAGAACTGTTAAATCGTGTTACATGACGAATATCAAAATACCTATATCCGGGAATAAATCGGTACGTGATAATTTGTTCGTTTTATTTTGCTGCTTGTTATATCATGCAGCCTTACCCGCACGAACTGATGCTCCCACTGCATCCTGTAAAACAATAGGTAAATAGTAGCTTATAACAGCAGATTATACCTTATATAGTTTACGAATTATTGTTTGTCAAAGTTCTTTAATTTTATCACTGACAAACTCACTTAGTATTTAGGAAAGGAAGGAAAAATGTAAAATTCTAATAGTTCATTATTTTCAATAAATAAAAATTATTAAAAATTACGTTCATCCATTTAAATAATGCATCGTGTTTATAGCTGATGGACAAGATAATATATCAACCAAGAAAAATAAAGAGAATGATTTTCAAAAGGAAATGAGATCCCATCAAAAACAAAAAATATAACATGTAAAAATGCGCAATCCTTCCACTATAAGAGTTGTGAGATCTCATGTAAAACTAAATCAATTTTATTTATAGTGACCGTATCAAAACTAGAAATATTTACATCTATAATAATTATAATCACTTGGCAACTACACAGCATCATAATTATAAAAGAATAATCTAATACAAAATCACTCCTCGCAAAAATTAAGGGAACATAAAAATTTTTGAAATTTTTGGGTGATTTTCAACAGGCTGTATTTCAGTGAAAAATAATCGTACAGGAAATTTAAAAAAGGGTTTTGAAGCTTGAAAACTCTAGTTTTCAGATTTTTTGGTGAAAAAATTTTTTGAGCTCCGGTTTCCATGCAATTCTTAAACAAAGCTGAAAATGCACGACGAATCCGACCGTGCAACCTCCACGTGGTATGCTTTGGGTAACGCTAATGCCGGCGGTAAATCGATCATCAATCAAAGTTTTTATCAAAAACTTTGATTTCCTTAAAAACGAAAAAAAAAATTTTTGTAAACTTTTTTCGACTTTTCCAAAAAAAATTTTCTTTAAAATTTTCTTGATTTTTTCGATTTTTTTTTTGATAATGAATTTTTAAAAAACAAAAAATTGAGTAAAAAGTGAAAAACATGAAATTATTGATTTTTGAATGGATTAGGGTGAGTTTAAGGGACAAAAACCTTGTTCCCTTATTTTTTCCAAAATTTCAATCAATTGGTCCGGGAAAAACCGTTGAACCGATCGCTCCAAAACTAGAGTTTTCAAGCTTCAAAACCCTTTTTTTAAATTTCCTGTACGATTATTTTTCACTGAAATACAGCCTATTGAAAATCACCCAAAAATTTCAAAAATTTTTGTTCCCTTAATTTTTGCGAGGAGTGTATTTCGATTACTACGTAAATCTAATCACCAGAGGGGAAACTACAAAAGTTGTTACTTTGGTACCTCTGTTTCATTCGTGTTTCTGCTGTGAAATTGTTGTTAGCGTGACTGTGTTTTAGTTATAAGGGTGGGATATGGCAGTGAAATTACAGGGTACAGAGGCACATTAGTTCACAGGAATGATAACGCACAAGGGATATTATCACAGAGTACATTCTGTTATGCATGTTTACCATTCTAATTTGCACTAAACTACTTGCACTTATTAAAACTTGCACTAACTTTCTAAACAATGCAATTAAGAATAAATATTTATATCTAAAGTATTTTACTAGTAGAATTAGTTGCCATCTAAATGCCTAGTAATTATAATTATTATAGAAATAAAGATATCACATTTTGATACAGTAACTATAAATTAGACTGACTTCGTTTTACATGAGATCTAATAACTTTTTCCAGTGGGAGAACCGCGATGCGAGTTTGATATTATTTTACATTTTATGTTGTTGATGGGATTATATTTGTAAAGAAGTATTTGTTTGCGTGTTAAGAGAAAAAAAAAAACGTTACTTTTACGTTACTATACTTTTATTAGGAGATTTAAAATTGTTCTGATTATTGTATATTCGTATCGTATATACTGTCTCCAGAAAAAACCTTATTAGAATCGTCCATTATATCCTTTCTTTTCGTTCTGAAATAGATCAAGAGTTATATATTAATATATGCTAAAAAAATAAAAGTAGTACGTATATTAAATAACGTCATTAATATTTGACGTAAGAATATATATTAACTAAAAGCGACTAAAAATTACTTACAGTATCAAAATGGGGTAGTCGCGCTATAATGTTGTTGTTTTTTTTTAATGGATGATAATGGAATGGTAACCCCACCCGCGCTATCGGTATACACCGGCGGGGTACCAGTGAAGGATGGTAGGTGAGGATGAAGTAGGTCAGTTAGCCCATCGTGACGAATTCAACAAGAATTGTTCACGATGGTTTCCAGGGGGAATCACGTAGAGATCGACCTAATAAGGCATATTGCTAGCAATGGGGCTGTCAAACTCCAATGCTAACAATCCCTTTCCCCCCTATAATGTCGTTTATAACGTCAAATTCATACGGACATTGTGTCGTAGCAGTGTTGCAAAATAACAAAACTCTCACCTTGATAAACGCTAGCACTATACTCAAAATTCACGTTTGACGCAACGATATTTATACAGCTTTAAATTTATATTATTCTTTATTTTTTTTTTCCTAGAAACTTATGATTATTTTTATTATGTATTTTTTTTGCAATATTTTCGTGGTATTTGTGAGAAATTTTGAAATAATTTGGGCAAGTTTTAGTAAAAAGTTGGGTTCAGTTATGTTCAACTTACTTAGGTATTTGGGTTGATAATAAAAAAAATTATAACGCCCAGTCTATAGAATAATTACCAAGTTTTAATAACAATATAATGACAACTTTATGTTTTTTTTTATTAATGAATGACGACTCCAAACTTCTGTCTATTAACATTTTTTAATAAACGGCTTTGGAAATTAAGAAGAAATGAGTACATAACAAAGAGAAAAGTAACAATTTTTAAACTTTGTTTTTAAGATTAGACATCTATCGAATTCAGGAAACGAAATGTATACTAAACCCGTAATTGTTTAGAACCAGAACCCCAAAATATCTGATTTTGCGTTATTTTATGCAAAAAACGTAAAGGTCTCTAAGGGATAATTTGAAAATCAATACTTGAATTTGAAAAAATTTACGACCAACGTCGTTCTATAGAATAAAAAATAGAACCTACTGGTACTGGTTTGTAACAGTTAGTCTACGTGCAAAGGAAGTCATGAGGGTCTATCAGCAATAAGTAGGTAAGTACATCAAAAACACACATATAAAATATATACCGTAGAACGGGGCTATTTGGTTTATTTTTTTGCAAAATCATGTATTTAATAAAAGAGCAATGCATTAATTTACTCGACAGGGGGTTTTTTGACCAGTTCCTATAATACCTTTTTAATGACTACCACTACAATAAGTCTATCATGCGTAGTTTTGAAGATATATGTTTTTAAGTATGCTATTCCAAATATTGCTACTTTGGGGCTATTTGGTATCCTATGTAGAAGCTAACCAATTTTTGACATTTTATAAAACTGTGCTTAATAAAACCGTTACAGAGACATTTGGAACTATTCTAGAATAGACTGCCTTGAAGTTTATCGCAATTTGATTCTTATCGGTTAAGAAAATAGTGAATTATATGAAGTTAGTCACGAAAACAAAATTATTATTTTAAATAAAATGGGGTTATTTGGAATTAGAAGTAAATGTAATAAGATGTGCCTATTATAAGTAAAGCAATATTTGGAATTCTTAAGGGGAGGCTGTTTTCAATTTTTACGTGATAGCTAATAGATATAATTAATTCTGTAATAGGTATAGGTATAAATAAAAATACTTAATATATATTTTAATCAAATTATTTTATAATCCTCATTATGAAAAGAAACATAAAAGTAACTACTAGGTACATACCTAGTTAAAGCTACATAAATGCTATAAAATGTAACAAAAGATTATAAATTTTGCTCAACATAAAAACAAATTCTGGAAAAATAAAGTGGCTTAAAGTATTTCAAAAATACACCATATCGCTTTCTTCAGCGAGAAGAAACTCCTTTTTCTTCATAGTATTATTATTCATAATAATTTTTTTCACAATCCATATGTCATCAACTTCATCGCGATCAATTTTCTTGCTAATCCGAAACGCAAGCTGTGGCTTTTTAATAGTTTTGTAAAAATTAACAGTGTAATTAAATTTCTGTCCATCAAATTTAATATTTTCGATAAATCCAATGTAATATTTACTGTTTTTATCATCACAGTAGCGTACCAAAACATGGTCGTTCACAGCATATAAAGATTCTGTAACGTGTTCATCATGTTTTTGTCTGCTTTTTACATGTTCTCGGCTCATATTATTATAATTTTGGTCATTTTCATTACAGTGCACATTTAAATGCGGTCCCGATTCATTCTGTGTTTGCAAAGGACCTACAATTTCATGGTGAGAACCAATAAACTCATGAATTTGTGCATTCCCAGGTTCCAGCAAATCTATAGTATGACCTTGAGGATTGATAGGTTCGGGTAAACTTATAATGTCACATATCGATGCCAAATGACTTGGATTGTGATCAGTCTTATCAGTTGTGTATTTTTTCATAGTGTTATTAGTCTCTAAGTTGCAATCAGTCTTTTGTTTAACAGGACTTACATTTATATTTAATCTAGCAGTCGACTTGTCATCATAATCACGAATCTGAATGTCTGTAGCCGTTGGTACCTCAATGCAAGTATGTTTGTTGTTTTTGTTACATTCGTCGCCTTCAGTGTTGCTATCCACATCAGAAACGTTTTCACCGTAATCAATATCTATGAGGTCCGAGTCACTATGAACACTCATGTTGTCGGACACACTTGTAGTATCAGAATTGGGAGTTCTATTGTTTTTATTATTTTTATTTTTTTCGGCTTTAACACTGGCTATCAATAGTTTAATGCTTACTGGATCTAAGTCTAAATTTTCAAAATCTTTTATCTTCAATTTTTGTTTCTGTTTTTTAAGTTTATTTTTCTTTCCATTGCTCTTGCCTTCAATAGATAAATATTCTTGAGATGCTTGTTCTTTGCTTTCTATTTTTGGTTTACTTTTTTTACCCTTACCCTTCCGTACTTCGCCCTTGCGTACTAAGTCATCTGCCATAATACTCTTTCCGGGTGGAACGTTGCATCTCTTTTTTCGTTTTGGTGGTCCGGCCGTACTTGTGGGACTTCTCATATCTTGCAAAATATCTATTACAACCGAAGATGTTGTGTTTTCTATTTGTTCTTCCGATACAATCTCTCTGTGTGGTAATCGCGACTTGGGTCGCTCGGAATTTAATGGGTATAACCCACATTTGTTAAATCCGGCAATCAGGTTCGCAGATTCCGTACCATTCTCTGATAACTTGTTCTTCAATTTGTTTAATAATTTTGGAAATGAACTTTTAATTAAAGTCTTGTGTTTCAATCCTTCTGTCTTCTTCCACGTTGTTAATACCTGACGCCAATACTTTTTTAAAGGAGCGTAAAAAGCAACATCTAATGGCTGGAGTAGATGTGTGGTTTTTGGAGGTAAGCAAATAAACGTTATATTTAATTTGTTGCAAGTCTTTAGCACTGATTCTGAGAAATGAGATGACAAGTTGTCTCCAACTAAAACTTTTCGTCCTTCTTTCTTTTTTGCATACGGAACTATAATTGTATTGAACCAGTCTTCAAAACAAACTGAATCAAACCAACCACTTTTTGACCTGTTGTACCTGGTTCCTTCAGGTCCTCCCTCCAGCCATTGGTCCCACAGATGATCCGCTTTATATACTACATATATCGGCAAGGATTGCCCATCTGCGGTACCAGCAAACATCAAAGAAATTGATGCTTTGGAATTATTAATGACTCTTTCGGGATATTTACATCCTCTTTTAAAAATGTACTTTTTGGTACCTGGATCATCAGTAAGGTTTGTTTCATCATAGTTGATGATACAATCAGGGGTTATTCCTTCGATAGATTTCTCATAATTTTCAAAAAAATCATCTATCATCTGTGGTGTCGTTTGAGCGCGGTCGCTAGATATGTTTGAAGCTGCCCGATTAGAAATCTCACTTTTATGTCTGTTTAGAAAATTACGCGCCCAGTCTACACCAGGCATGTTATCTTGGAGACTATATTCAGTTTTTCCAATTTTATTTAAGTATTTTTGTGCAAAAACTCGTAAGTCAGTTGTATCCAAAGGAAATCCCCAATGGCTCAGTAATTGTATATATTCTACAAAAGTCTTCTCTTCCTCTATTGAAAATAGAGTTGGGTGCCTCGCTTTTTCTTGCGTGCAATTTTTGTTTCTAGATTTCCTACTCAAAGTGCTCATTGGAATATTGTAATTTTTGGAAGCCTCTTTTAATTTCATTAAACCATTTTGAACGGCTTTTAATGCGTTTTCTAGACTTTCTTTAGAATAACTTAGATATGGTGGATGTGTTTTACCGCAATGTGAGTTGGTATATTTCCTTTGATATGTTCGCACCATGATTTTTTCTTGATTTTACCTGTGTGGAAAGAATAAAATTATTTTATATAATATAAATTATTTTAAATAATAAATTATATTAAAAAATATTTTATATACTATTTTATTAATTTTTTTATATATTTTTAATTAGGTAATTTGATTTTATTTTCTCATTTTATTATTATATTTTTAATTAGGTAATTTGATTTTATTTTCTCATTTTATTATTATATTTTATTTTTTAATATTTTTTTATTATTTATTTTTTATATAAAGTCGTGAAAATAACGGTGCAACTTTAAATTATTCAATGTCGCCACTGACTTACATGCTAGCCTGCTCACACCTAAGGACATTTTTATTTTTATTTTTATTTATTTATTTTATTTATATAAATTTATACATTATATAAATTATACATTATATAAATTCGCCTAGGAAAATTAGTCTCATTTTTTAGATTAGGTATTTTGCCGAATTTAATTTGATGACTGGGAACTGACTTACCCTTAAATATCTTTTTTTGCACTTTTGGGGCTATTTGAAACCATCACTCAAACCCATACTAATGCATAAAGAACCGTTAGATGGGGCTATTTGAAATAATATTCCAAATAACCCCAAAATTAATCTCAAAAAGCCCCAATCACAAAAAGAAGAAACAGTAGCTAGCTCGACAGAGATATAAAATAGCAACATATACCCCTGAAATCTACGGAAAATACACGTATACATAGTTTAACTTACATGGTACATACCTTTCTACGTTTCATTTCACAACACTTGCTGCCTCGTGTAATGCTTTACTATAAACTCAAAAATTTAAAAAAAATTGACATTAGTCGTTGTGTTACCAGGTGACAAAAAATATTCTACTCATTACTAAATTAAAAAATATACATAGTTAATCAAATCTTTTATTTAAGAAATTCCATTTAACCCCACGACTTGCAAATAGCCCCTTTCTACGGTAATAGAAATTTTTTTATTTTTTTTTAAGCGTGTACTTTATAAATTTAAATAATAACATTCATGTCTATGTATGTAATTATCAAACGTAAGTACACAAATATCATATAAAAGAAACTTATTTACTACTTTTAGTGTTCAAGCCAATTTTATTTAACATAATGGTGCCACTTGTAAAAGAAAATCTTATAGTCATATTCATTCTTCTTATTTTCTGTGAGTCCAGCTTAGTGGATCCAATTCTTAGTAGTGCAATTGAAAATGTGATACCTAATATAAACATTACAGAAATAATAAATAAACATTCTCCTCTTCAAAGTCACTTATCAGAAGATGGAAAACTCAACTTTTCTGAGCTCGCTGTAAAATATGGACAAAAATGTGAAGAGTATTCCGTGATAACCGAGGACAAATATATACTCACAATATTCCTCCACATTCCCGGAAAAGGCAGACCTGTACTTCTAATGCACGGTTTATCAGAATCGTCAGATATTTTCATCATGAGAGGAAATATATCTCTTGCCATCACTTTAGCTGATGCAGGATACGACGTATGGGCTGCGAATTTTAGAGGTAATAGGTATTCGTTAGGCCACGAGACATTAGACTGTGAGAAAGACAAAAGTACTGGGATTTTAGTTTGCTTGAATTGGGATATTATGATTCTAGTGTCTGCATAGACTTCGTGTTACAGCAGACTGATCAAGAAAAATTGACAGTCATCGGACATTCTCAAGGAACTACGAATTTTTTTGTACTCGGATCAAGAAGACCTGAATATAACGACAAAATCAATGTTTTTATTGCCTTAGCTCCCATAGCGTATTTAAGTCATGTAAGGGGATTGATAGAAGTTGCCGTTAAATTGGCAACACCAATATATTCTACGTTAACATCATTGGGAGTGGTAGATGTATTTAAAGAAAATTCTGCACTGAAAGATCTTATAGAAGTTGCGTGCACCCAAGATGTTGGAAGTTATGAACTTTGTTTTGATGGCGCTATTTTCCCAGGAGCCGGTTTCGATAGTGAAGAAATAGAGCCGCAATTCTCACACGTCGTGTTTGGTCATTATCCAGCTAGAAGTTCTATAAAAAAATATATATCACTTAAGCCAAATTGCGAACAGAAATAAATTTGCTGATTACGATTATGGTATGTTTAAAAATCTTGAAGTTTACGGCACTACGGATCCTCCGGAATTTGATCTGGGGAAAGTTACAGCGAAGACCGCTTTGTTTGTTGGTGAAAATGACTTCTTGGCCACTATAGAAGACGTCGACTCTCTAAAGTCTCAGTTACCAAATGTACTAAAGCATCAAATATTACCTCGAAAAGAGTTTAATCATATGGATTTTGTTTGGGGGAAACATATGCCAGAAACCTTATATCCTTATGTATTTGAAGTCTTAGATAAATACTCCTAAAACAAGTACCTAAACAGATTACATTATATTTACTTATGATACTTTTTTTTTATTGATATACATATATCTATAAATGTAGCACTTATTATGTTTAGTTTCTTTAAATTTCTAGTCGAAGTATCCTCTTTTATATACTATATTAAAATTTTCTACTGAAATAGATTCTTACGTACACAATATATATCAGGAATTTATTTATTCTATAGTTTTCTCTCTACTCGTTTTAAAATTGAAGTAAATTACATGGGAGTAAAATTTATCATGTTTTATTTTTCTTAATGTAAGTTTACACCCTCCATCTTGATTTTCGTAAAATTATCGGCGACTAATATTACATCTTTTTCAAAAACATACAGCCATTTTACATTAATTGCAATATGATTTGCTACCAATGTCCAGTCAAATATAATAAATATCTTGGGTTGAGGACGTAATATTAAAAAACAAGGTTAGTATTAGCAGATAGATTCGAATTTTTTTGTGAAAAGCAGGTGTTTTAAGCCCCCAGGTGTTTTTTAAATGGATAAAAGTGGAACAATACATACGCCTATGCTGTATGTAAGGGTATACAATGCCGGGGCACCAGTAAAAAATGAAACAATGAGTTCAGTTGGCCCATTGTGGCAAATTCACTACATATGAACTACGATGGATTCCAGGGGAGACCGCGTCGAATTCGACTTAACTTGACGCATTCAAAGTCGGGCAGCTCGAATTGTTGACGATCGGCGTCTTACTGTCCGACTCGACTCACTGAAACTGCGTAGAGATGTTGCATCTCTGTGCATCTTCTACCGAATTAATCTCCGGGAGTGCTCTGAAGAATTGTTCGGATTGATACCTGATGCTGATTTTCACCATCTTACAACCCGCCATAAACTAAAATTTCATCCCAACTATCTGGACGAGTGGCGGTCCTCCACCGTGCATTTTTCAAGGCACTTTCTTCCACGCACAACCACTCTTTGGAATTAACTTCCAGCAGCAGTATTTCCGACCCGATACGACAACATAACCTTCAAGAAAAGAGCATATTCATTTTTAAAAGGCCGGCAGCACATCTGCAATGCCGTAGGTGTTGTGGGTGACCATGGGCGGCGGTAGTCACCATCAGGTGAGCCGCTTGCTCGTTTGCCCTCTGTGTTGTAAAAAAATATACATAACGAAAAAAAAAAACACTATATGTTTACTTGGCACGGAGAAATTAAGGCCTTTCTGACGTACATATATATGGTTAATACAAATGTTTTCGATATAACTGTGACGTAAAATATGTTCAAATATTATCTTCGTTTACGTCGTATAGCTTTAAAAAAAATACTGTGCTTATTGTATATTTATTTTGTCTATGGATTATAATATGAGAATAATTCAAATAAAAAAGAAATAAACATAAGATCAATAAATGTTCATTTAATTGACAATTCGGCAAATCCAACTAATAATTCACAAGTTTATTTTTTAAAAAGATGATGATTCTATTTTTAAAATATATCTTTTAAAAATATAGTATAATTTTTCCTGTTCTCCTTTAACCTTTGACTATATTTTGGTCAGTACCTTATGCTGCTGTATTTTATATGAACTTTTTAATTGTTATTATAAATATATATGTTTTAATATAATAAAGAAGGGGGAAAAGAGATTATTAGTAATGGGGTCTGGTTTCCTTATAACTAGCAATAGACCCTATAAGGTCGACCTCCACGTGGTTCCTCCTGTAAACTATCTTAATTAATTCTAGTGGAATTCGTCACGATTGGCTAACTGCCTGCTTTTTCATCCTTACCTATCATGTCTCACTGGCTAGCGTATACCAATAGCGCAGGAGGGGTTACCATTCCATTATCACACATTAAAAAAGTGCAATAAAAAAGTTAAATAAATAAATATACAGTTAATATAAAATTCCATGAACATATTGAGATTTTCAAAACCTAGTTCATTATTTTGATGTATATATTCAACCGATTTTAGATTTAGATTTTGGCGCTAAACTTTTTGACCTACTTATAAACGGTAGTAGCTTACGGGTTGTGGAAGTCCGTAGGTGTACTTCGATGATGCTGGCCATACTGCCTGTGTTGACAGATGGTGTACTTACCGGTGACTATTGCACACGTTACGACACGACCGTGTCTTTAGTGCCCTCCGTTCGCATTTACCTCTGCTGTAATGCATCACCAATCATTTTGTATCATTCACTTCATCCAACCATCATTGGTTTCGAAATAGCATTATATTTTGATTTTTAATTTTTTAATATACGATCTAAACATTTGTTTAATTGATTGGTAAATGCGGATGGATCACATAAAATGAGTATGTATTCTCAAGTTGCCTTAATATATTTTAGACTGATTTTTTATAATCGTGAGCGCGTTTAAGCCCATATTACAATAATAGATAATTATTAAGGTATATTATTTAACTCTTTAATTAAATTATTTCAACTATAAAAACATCGCAGTATATTTACACCACATTTATGGCGGTTTTTCACAAAACAATTTGAATCATTAGATTGATAGAAAGCCGTTTTATTGTCACAAATAATATACTAGAGATCATTGTAAATTCATAATTATGTTGTGAGAGGACAATCTCTACAACTTTTAACTGACTATCTAAATGATAGATTCTAAAAAGTAAAAATTGACAAATGGATTAGTGATGAACCTCCAGTCACCTTCGGATTTTCTCAGGGTAGTATCCTCGCACCGACCTTATTCTTGGTCTATATCTAAGATCTTTTCCAACTTCTGATATAAA